GCGCCCTGGTTTTTGTTCACAATGTCTGTGGCTTGACACTATGATTCGATAGACCGGATGTTTGAGGCTATGGCGGGAACTTTGATATCTGTGGGGTCACGGTGGATTGTTTTATCTTCTTTATCTTTTTTTTTCTGTTTTCGCAGGACTGGCATCAATGAGTGCAATGAATGGGCCTGGGTGATACGGGAGTTTCATGTTATTTGCAAGGTTATGAATTGTTCGAACCATACAATGAATCCTTAAGTCAAGCATACATATTGTATTGTTGACTACATACATAATACGAGGTAGCCAAGTGGCTAAGCAGCCAAGCAGCCCAAGTAAAGTTCATTACATGCTTATGCCCTCGGGATAAAGTACAGCTAGAAGTACCCAATGTAGTACATACTATAGGTACAGGCACCAACCTGGACCCCGGGTCCGGGGTTGTCGGTATTTGCTTCGTGTACACGTAGCTCTGCAGGTTTACCGTTGTCTCTATTGGGACAATGCAGGAGAGCTGCAAGAAAATACGGGAAAATATAAGAATAATAATAATAACAATAATAATAATAGAAAGGGAACCAGGGAAAGGGACATGGGGGCGGCACGGCTGCACTTCACCTCATAACCACCAAGGTTGCCCAGGACCGGAAGCGATCCCAAATATCCCCGAATATATACAACAAAGAAGAACTAAAAAAAAAAAAAAAAAAAAAAAAAAAAAAAAAAAGCACCAGCATATGACGAATCGCTTCACTTCTGTACAACCAACGACGTGCGATGTCAGAGAACGCTAACTCGCCAGCAAGCATTACGGGTTACACCTGCATCCCACTCGCTCTTTCAGCCCCTTGGCAGACGCTAGCAGGTAATGCACAAGTGCGGGATTTTTCTTTCTAGAAGCCCGGGGATTAACGAACGCTAGTCGCTAGTCGCTACCTCGTCAGGGGCTGTGCGTAACAGCGACATCATCGGTCGATCTGCGATACGGGATTGGAAGGGTTTGGGAATTGTGGGAATTGTGGGAATAGGCCTTGGCCAGGTTCTCCATGGAGATACTCGACATGTTCGGGAGCGCAAGGCTGGATCGTGGATCATTTCTGATAATATACCCGGCACGATTGTGCCGTGAGAGATGTCAATACATACGTCAATGGGTGGGTTTAGTTTTTTTGGGGGAAATTCCCGGAATGATGTGCACTGTAACTTCGAACTCGAACTTGGACTTGGACTTGGAACTCATTCTTGACCTTTGACCTTTGTCCTTTGTCCTTACCCCTTGATCTGGACTTGAACTCAATGGTCCTTATGAAAGCTTCGATGACCCTGACTATAGACCAGGAATTCCACATCTCATGAAATGGTAAATGCATAACCCCCCCTATGCCCCTATGACGAACAACAAAACAAAAAGGACCGGGGGCCATGGCCGTCAGACACGAGGTCTTGGCAAGACGCTAGAACGACACTAGAAGACACACAGAATCGTCAACGTCCAATCATAAGATGATCTTCGTGAGGGGAAATCACTCGGCACCCAAATGTCTGACCGCTGCTTATCAGCGACCTCAACTCACCCTCGACACACCTGATCATTCTCCAATCATCATCGTCTAAACTATCCAGGATAGTGTGAAATGAGGGCTTTGAGAGGGGCACGCTAGAAGGACCGTGGAATATTCGGCGTCAGCAAAGATCCGCATACAAACACAAATTGAACAAATTCCCGCATGCGAGGAGGCGGGGAGGCTGAGTGGTTTGGTCCAGTCTGCTTCGAGTAGTTTTCTAGAAAACTGTTTAGTGCCATTTCCTCTCCCTTTCACAGCCATTCACAGTTTAGTCTCGCGGTTGCTGTCCCGTGTCAACCAATACCCTACTCGAGCCCCCCGGTCATGCTCCATATGATGCAGTTTCACGTTGGGCACATAAAAGGGCTCTTGTCTCCATGGCTTAGGGGAATTATTTTGCATTTGAATCCTAAATACTTGACCCAAATCAATTTTAAAGATTTCAATCATTAGTTAAACCTACTCTCTCACAATGGTAAGTGAACTTTAGCTTGCAATGGGCGTACTCTAGTCTAACCCTCTCTCTCTCTCTCTCTCTATAAGACCGCAATCCCAATTCCCCTACCACACCAACGCTCACTCTCATCCGCCCCAATCGACATGCAGTCCCCATTCAGCTACACAGACTCGTACTCTTCCTCCTACTCCTCCTCACCAGGAAGCATGGACTTCTTCTTCTATGGCGGCCAGCCTGTCTACGACACCCTCTGTGACATCGACGCAACCAGTCCCTTCCCTATGCAAGAGGTCACTCCAGAGCTCTACGGTATAACCAGCTCGCCATACACCTACCAGAGACCACATGACTACCCGGTCTTTGACCGACCCGCCATGCCTCAGAGCGCACCCAGCAGCTGTGGCAGCAGCTACAGCGGTAGCTACAGCAGCAGCTTCAATTTTCCCTCCGAAGACATTGCTCTACCAAGCTACCCCATCAGCGAATATGAATCCAGCGCCGACTCGCCAGCCCCGCAAGCATCCAAGTAAGCTAACTATCTCCGCCGTCGCGATTGAATCAACCCACTAACATATCTCCTTCAGGCCCGCTAAGCCCTTCGGTTGCGACCACTGCGGAAAGTCCTTCACCCGCTTCGCGGACTTGAAACGCCACCAGTCCAGCGTCCACTACCCCGTCTTCCGCAACTGCCCTGTCGAGCACTGCTCGCGAAAGGGTAGCAATGGCTTCCCGCGCCAGGACCACCTCGTCGAGCATCTCCGCTCATACCACCACCTCGACGTCCCCAAGCGTGGATCCTGCAAGCGCTCCGCGAAGCAGATGTCATAATTGTAATGACCTTTTTCGTCTTGCGCTGGTATTCGCGACATTTTTCCGGGCATTTTTACGATACTACGACCGTTTTTTTCTTCTTTTTCGCTTTTCTGATGATCTATTTCTATTTTTACATTTGTTTGTTTCATCGGTAGATCGCAGTCCCGTTATGGGTCGATCTTGTATGTTGTATAGAAGACGCGGATTGCTTCTTCGCATTAGTTTGTTTTAGTTTTTCGAGCTCATCGCTCATTACTTTTTATGTGTTCTAGATTCTAGATCGGGCTTAGATGGGTTATTGGTGGAATGTTTCAATGAATTGCAACGATTACGATACCATTTTCTTCAATGGGCTTAGACTATTTTTTTCCTATCTATGTTGTATGTTGTATGGTTTTCCCCTTTCTTGTTCCAATTGAGCTCTAGCCAAATGAATTCCTGTTCTCAAGTACGCGTTCTGCAGTAGTCGCACGAACTAACCGGACTAAGTAGGTGTTGCATCAAATGTCACCGTGCTCCGTACTAGCTGCAATGTTGAGTACTGCGTACCTTTTTTCATTTCCCCCTAAATATTGTTAATATGCCTCATAGAATACAAAGAAACTAGGATATAAAAAGCAAAGAAAACTCTAATGAAAAACTCTGACTTTTCAAGGATGTTCTTTGTTCTTTTGTACAACGAAATGTCCTAAACCCCAAAACAGGTTGGCCCTCACTTTGGCCCCCAAATTTCGGTATTTTTCTTCCTTTGAATCTCCAAGTCCAGTACGGAGTAACAGTCTACATGAACTAGTTAAATAACTAGGTCCTTCCACTCCAAAAAATAATCCCTACAGCATGTATAGTACATGCAGGTACCAAGGGATCATTAAGTTCATTAATGCACATCCGAAACGGATCTAAATCCCAGCCACAATCCTTCAAAACCACAATATTCTGATTATAGTCCCAACAATTCTTCTCAAGAACATTCTCATGCCATCTCCAATCTCCAGCACCATACCACCATACCACCATGGCATCATAGCATCGTTAAAATCAATATTAACACCCATAAAAAGTCCCCCCAATATCCCCCACCCCGTTCAACAAACTGTAACCCAAACCCCTAGTCAAGATGCTACCTAGCACGACAATGCATTACCCACACCCCGGAATGATCCGAGCGGAACGCAGGAACTAAACACCCTAGCCCGGGCAGCATGTCGTATCGCATCTTGAGAGTGTCCCTGGAGCGCTATATTTATTGTCGTTTCGATAATTGCTCAGTTGATAGGATAGCTGTTTTGTTGGTTGTGCTTGCTGCGCTGAAATCGCGGGGTGTGGCCTGTGCCTATTTATTTTCCTTCCATTGCGGTCCTACTTATATACCAGTGGTAGAGGGAGTGGTTGTTTAGAGTGGTTTGCTGAAGAAAATATCTGCTCTGATGAGGGAGAGCTGGGTTGAGATGTTGAGATTATAGGGACCAGACTTAGGATTAAGGCTCGTTTGTCTTCGTAGTGTCTGTTAGGCTGCAGGCTGCAGTTGTTGGGTGTTGGGAGGTGGAAGGTTGACTTCCCTGTGTGGGTAGTAGATTATGCCGTTGTTTGCGTTACTGTTGGTTGAGCAGCATCGCTGTGGTGTGACGCGCAGCCAGAAAGATTTGGCTTCTAAGGCTTGATTCCTTGGGTTATAAATCAGCACAGTGTGTGCAGTATATATCGCCACTTCCTGATAACGAAATCTATAGTTCTGGGGAATTTTCATCAAATAGCATCATGTTCCTGGAAAGTGATATTGGTATTGGTATATAGACTTCTATACATAAGCCGGATCACCTTGTACCCTCTGTATTGTATATTCGGTTGAAACTTGAACGCCCCCACGATCCCTCTGGGTGAGGTGCAGGGCTGAGGAAGGTTAAGGTTCGAAGGAAAGCTGTAGATATACTAGGCTCAGCACTCGGGGCCAACCGGAAATCGGGCTAGTGTTTCTAAGCATTTAGAACCAACCTACCCTTGTTTAGATCACAATTATCTGACAAAGAGCTGTGGTACAAGCGCCATTGGAGTCAGGCACAACATTTCCAATATCGAAGCCTACTATATAGCCGGGGCTACCTAGATAGGAAATTCAGACCAGTTTCCCGGACATAAGTATCTCAAATATCAAACACAATTTAAGGACACAAACCTCCTTACCATTCCCCAAAACGCCCTCTAATCAACCAAAAAAAAGGGCTCACTTAGCACCCAAATCCACAAACTCCCTAAAACAAACCCCCTAACCTTCCCGTCCAAAAAAACAACACCCTCCTCCTCAAGCCTCAACCTCTTCTCCTCACAAAACCCACCACCACCCTTATGCGCATCAACCTTCCACTCCCCCTTATACCCACCCAACGACCCATCTGCGGCAAGCACCCGATGACACGGCACCTCCGGCGCAAATGGATTGCTGCGCATCGCATTGCCAACCGCCCGCGCGCTGGAACCTAGGTACGTCGCCATCGCCGAGTACGTAGTCCACCGACCTGGCGGGACGGACAGGAGCGTCCGATACACGCGCCGGCGATACGGGGTTAGTGTTGGGTGCATGGATATGCGGTGGAGATATTTTTTTGTTTGCGCTGTGGGTAGTGCGGGTTGGAGGGTTTCCTGGGGTTTGGGGTCTTGATCTTGATGGTCTGGGGTTGGTGTTGGGGGCTGCAGATCTCCGGACTGTACTGTCGAGAGAGACATGACTCATGGACTGGACCCTCTTACGGAGCTAGGGTTTTGGAGAAATCTTTTTATGTGTTTTATCCTCTTGGAATCTTTGTTTTCGAGGCCCTTTTTGAAAACCTGGAATAGCTTGGGGGTTCGTGGAGGCTCACTGATTTGTAATTAGCCGGGGACGATGCGACGCGAGACGCGTTTGTCAGTATTGGGGTATTGGGGTACCTACCACGTGAGTATGGAGTAGGTGTTGATGCTAAGAGATGTGATAAACCCTTTGTTTGAATGTGAATATTTGAAGAGAGAGAAATGGCGAGGGAAAAAAATGGCTATAAAGATCAAACTGTAGGTTGAGTTGGTGGTTGTTGTTCCCAAAGTGGCCAATCAGCGCGGCTTTTGTCGATGGCATCTTCCTCACGATCTCATTCATTTCATTTTCTTCCAGGGATAAGATAATAAGATACTAATTTGTTTCTAATCATGTATCCATTTATTAATTGGGTATTCATCAAAACGTCACATCCAAAACATAGCACATCATCAAGCCCTCCCACCTCAAATCTAAGCGTGATCTACATGCTCCGCTCCTACAGCATTATCGCCAGCCTTGGAAGCTGCAACAACTGCAGCAACAGAAAGAGGCTTTCCAGTCTCCGGGTCCAACATACTGCCCTTGTGACCGAGAGACTGGACCATGCCTGGGTTCTCCGCCTTGAGGCGCGCAAAGGTCTTCTCTGCATCCCAAGTCCAGGGGTCTTAGCCGCGAACAGGAGATCCATATCCTCCAGGGTGCGCTGGTTGCTTTCAGGGTACAGAGCCCACACCATGGGGATGGCGATGACATTACTGGCGGCGAAGACGTAGAGTGTCTTTTCGCCAATGGCGTTGAACATGACGGGACACAATAGAGTCTTCGATATACGGTCAGTATGTGTTATTGTATTCATTGAAGGGAGTTCACTCACCAGCCATCCATTCCCAATACTCCATCCGACAACACCGAAGGCATTTCCACGTGCACGAACGGCTAGGGGGAAGATTTCAGCCGGGTAAACCCTAACAGATCAGAAGTTAGCATTGAATATTGAATGAAAAGATCAGATGCGAGTTCCGTACCAAGGGACTGTGAGCCACGAAGCTCCAAATGCAGAGGTAAAGATGAAAATCATCGAAGCTGCGGCTGCACCATACGAGGATGCCTTGGCCATGTCACCGGCTGCCTTGTTGTCGATAGCGAGACGGGAGAATCCACCCGCAAGGAACATAGCAATACCCTGGACAGCTGCTCCCCAATACAAAGTCCACCGACGACCGATGCGGTCGAGAGTAAAGACACAGACTAGCGTAGCAAACTAAACATGCACATTAGTATAAATCGTTTTCCTCTGTAACGCCAGAACATACCATGTAGAAAATGTTGTTCAGTCCACTAATCCACTGGCTCTTCATCGAATCAAACCCAGCAATGCCAAAGATGGTCGGTGCATAAACAGTAACTCCCGCGATACCAACCCATTCCTGCATGATCTGTAGCCAAATGACCAACTGTACACGACGGCCGATATGAAGATCACCTGATTTGTAGCCAACTAGCATGGACAGATATGAGTCACCATGATCCACTGTCCGCTCTAGCTCTGCGATGCTCAAAATATCCTGGAACTCGGCTTCCGCTCGGAGGAGGTCCTCTCCGCTAGATCCACGTAGACGCTGTAGAATGTAGCGAGCTTCTTCCTCCCGGCCGACCTTGACAAGCCATCGAGGTGACTCTGGGAAGAACCAGACAGCCGCAAAGAGGACTAGGAGGAAGACGATCTGGAATGCGATAGGGAATCTCCAGCGGAAGGCTGACTCTCCGTTGTCAATGAAAGACAGACCACTGCCAAAAGTTAGAAAGGATATCGCGGAGATTGAGGGGATTTACATACAACTCCAGCCAATAGGCCAACACAACACCGAAAATGTTTAGCGTGAATTCAATAGCAATGAATTGTCCGCGCGAGGTGTGTTCGGCCGTCTCCGTAGCCCAGACAGGGACGATAGCGTTCAAAATTCCAGTTCCAATACCATTAACGAAGCGTGCTACAAAAGTTAGTCCAGTCTTGCATGTATTGAGTATATGCATCCTTACCGCAAATCATCCAATTGTGGTTTTGTGCAGAACATTGCAGAGCGGCGCCTAGAATAGCCCATAGAGCACCCGCTGCAATGGTCTTGATTCTTCCCGTGCGGTCTCCAAGCCAGCCACCAAGTAATCCGCCGAAAAGGGTTCCCAGGTAGTAGACCGATACAATCCCACCTTGCAGGAGGGAATTTGTGACCACCGGGGTTACCTCTCCGTCCACTACCTCAGTATAACCGAATCCCATAAGATCAATATAATCCTTTGCATTGTTTACACCAGCCATCATTCCTTGGTCGTATCCGAAGAACAAAATAGACAACCCAGCAACGCAGTTAATCCCGATGAGAAGCTGTCGCTTCTCCAGCTTGTGGACGACATTCCATGAAGGGATTTTGTCACTCATTTTGAACGCAGTTAAGGGGGAGGGATTCGAGTGTTCTTGGAGGCCTGTCGCATTAAAGTTGGTTCTGTAGACCAAAATAGTAATAAAAGAGTAGGAAATACAACCAGATCCTAGCCCGCGGGGTAAAATAAATTGCACAGCAACAGAAAAATAGCAGATCCAAAATCACGCCCAGACCACGGCAACTGAGCCCTTTAAAGCTTCTACATGCAGCGCCGAGACCCTGGTCACACACGGCACAACTCCGAACTACCAATGGACGATGATGCACAGCAACTTCCCCCCGGAGATCGACCGAAAAGCAGCCATGAACAGCAAGGAGTGACAGTGCGGATTCGGCCATATTCCGGTGGAACATGGGGAACATGAAATAACAAACCAGTCACCAGCGTCGATACGACATGCCTTACCCACCAGAATAAGAAAACCCGGGGATCACGGGATTCAGGGCCAGAATCCGGGCTCGGTAAGTACCTACCGTGTGTGGTAATAATGTCATGGCGGGGCGAGATCTGGGGGCTTTTACCCGGTATACTGACCTCGGCAATCCGAAGGAAAGACCTTCTTTGTCCTGCACGTTCCGGGAGGCTTGCAATATATTCGGCTTAGAAACGGTGCGGAAAGCAAACTGCGGTCCGAAAAAGTGCAAACTGGTGAACGCTACATACTCCGTGATGAATTTGGTGAATTATCCGGTGGCATGTCTTTCTGTGACCTCCGCATTTTCCCAAGTGGGTCGAATTTTGCCGGGGAGATGTTCTTGGCACGCCGCTTTTATGCGCTCGGGGTATTTCTCAGACCGGGCATGACATTTGGTTTTGGTCACGTGACATATTGTCATGTGATTGTCTCCTGGGAAATAGACCCACCAGGTGAGACCCAAAAGTCAAACGGCCGTTTTCTATTGAATTGGATTATGATTGTGTCAAGTTCCTCCCTTCTATTGACCTTCAAATCAGCTAGGAACGCAGTAAGGTCACATAACCAACAGCAAACCATACCCGAAATACCAACAAAACTGTATGGTCTACAATATTAGTCTCGATCTTCTCGCCCGTCGCTTATAGGTTAGCCCCACCATAGACTGTGTCTACCAGTCCAGTAGGAAGGTGATGTAGCCAACTAAGTCTTGTTCCTTGGCACTACCACAACCTCGCCAATCCTCTCACTTCATTTATTGGTTGTTTTATCCAGAGAGGTGCTCATACTGTGTCATTTATTTCCCTGCTAAACTAGACTTACTTTGTCTGCAGAAAACGGCCGCCCTGGTGGATATAGATACCAATACTTCAATAAACACTGTTGTTGTTGACCGGCTTATTCTGACGGCTGTAGTACTCGCGCATGTCAGTATGCCTCGGAGGCTGGGTTATCCCACTGTACTCTGGCATCATTTTCAAAACGATATAAACAACTGGAAGATGGTTCTTCAACCTGTTCCCACAAGGCCAAGAGATGTAAAACATAGAGATTCAATTGGTTCAGCGGTTAGGGAGTGGGTCCGGTAATTGCAGAACGCCGTCTATCCGAATCGGGATTAGCGTGGCTTTGTGCTCAGGGCAGGGTCCACTTATATAGATTCCAAGGTTGGTCTACTTAAATACGTTGCAGTCGTTCACGAAAACTAGAGTGAAAATGCGGGGAAATGTATGAGAGACCTTAACAATTAATAAAGCTGCCTAAGCACTATATGCTCAGAGTAGGTCTCTAGTATAGGGATGTACATTCAACTCTCGCTAGCGACATGAAAAAGTGCGGCGTTCAGCCCATAATTCATATCCACTTCCAGCCTCAGGTTTGAGAAATTAGTTACTTTGGGCATAGATTTTGACCGAGTGTATCATCCAGTAGGTCTCATTGAAGGCGGCTGGGTTATTTGCGACCCAATCGTTGCAGGTGTCGGCCAGGCTGGCGCAGGTCTTGTCATTTAAGAATTCTCTTGAAGCCCCTGTGAAAGTTAGTGAATATGTCCTCACTGCAGTTTGTAGTTGCCTTTGCGGAGACAAGGGTCGAATTTCAAGGGCATTGGGTAGGTTTGTATTGAATCACGAATTGTAGACCAATACATAGTGACATTGAGCCGGGAGCTGAAGACAGGACTCAGAGCCTAAGCACTAGCGCTGTCACACTCCATGTGCCAATATATAGAGTATAGCATTTTGCTATGGAATTATGCAATTCATGGCCAATGCTTGTGACACCAATCAGTGTTCTACCCATAGAGCCGTTCCTATATTGCTACTACGCTGTTATTTCTGGCTGCTAGCATCAGTAACTCATCTATTCAATATATTGTATGTAATTGGTAAGAATACCGTTTTTACTAGTTTAGAGATCCGCATAGTTCTGAGTGGGATAGGCTGGGACCTGGACGACCACATCGCAGCCATCAGGGGCATTCTCGGTTTTACTGGATCAAAAAGCGGCAGGATATGAGCACCAAAATAGAAAGGGAAAACGAGCAATACTCTACGCTGAACAGATAGGACATGTGATGTTTGTGCATCCGCATGGCTGGGTGTGCTTCGACTGCTTTCGATATTCGTCTATCCTTGCACAAACACATGTCTTTGTGTTGCCTACCTCCTTTCTGAGAAACGGAAAGTTTGGGACAGGCCATCTCTGCAGCCCCGGAATCGCGTTGTGCCCACAAATCTTGATTTGCCAAGATGTCAAGTTTCTCGAATCTTGAATATCTTGGTCATTGCTGACGACATTTCAATTTCTAACGCCCCGGGTTGAGTCTATTCCAAGTTGATGTCCCGAAAGCACATTCTGACCCATATATGAAGTGCGCATGGCCATGGTCACAATTAAGTGTTACCTTCGAGATTGTATATGTGCATGTGCTTCGAACACTTGAGCCCCCAATCTATACCAGAGTACATACTACAGCCGACAAAACTGGTGTATACAACAATTCAAGGCCCAAAAATACAGAAGAAAAGACTTGATCACAAGTAAATGTTTCCTAACATCTACGAACAAGGCTTAGGGTCGTACATTCTGATTCTGGTAGGAACTGCAAAGTGGCAAGAGCAAAGCAACTGAGTTGACTCCTCGGGTGAGTTCAGGTCGATGCCGGTCCCGGGATTGTCGACGGACTTGAAAAGTTTAATTGGTTGACATCCCTGAACCGGGGAAGTAACAAATCCATCGGGGATATTTCATCAAACGCATCTTCCACGATTTTACCACATGGTCAGGTAAATCCCCCGACGTCGAGGATCCAATGGAAAAAGGTAACATGGCGCAAGAGCGTGGCAACGAGGTTGATACCAAAGCACCCGAAGACCCACCAAGCCAGCATGGCGATACGGGTCAGACAGGCTTTTCTCAGTTCACAGTAGCCCAGAAGAGGGCTATTGTTGCCATGGGATCCTTGGCTAGTTTCTTCTCACCCTTGTCTTCGAGTATCTATCTGCCCGCTTTGACCACCATCGCGAGTTCCCTACATATCTCCGTCTCCCAGGTGAACTTGACGGTCACTACCTACCTGGTAAGTCAATGAAAACAACAATCTAGTCAAAGAAATGCACAACTAACTAGGTTTCTTCTTTCCAGATTATGCAGGGGGTGGCCCCGATGCTGATTGCAGGCTTCTCGGACACCGCAGGCCGCCGTCCGGCTTACATCATTTGTTTCACTATTTACCTTGCAGCCAACCTCGGACTAGGTCTCCAAAACAGTTATGCCGCCCTCCTGGTTCTTAGGTGTCTTCAGAGTGCAGGCAGCAGTGGAACTGTCGCACTGGCAAACGGTTTGGTCGGAGACATGATCACGTCCGCCGAACGAGGCTCATACATTGCCTTCGCTTCAGTTGGGAGCATGTTGGGTCCCTCCTTGTCACCAATCCTCGGCGGCCTTTTCAGTCAGTACACCAATTGGCACTGGATGTTTTGGTTTCTGCTTATTTTCGGCGGCGTGTTCTTCCTTATCCTCGGTCTATTCCTGCCGGAGACCTGTCGAAAAGTCGTCGGAGATGGGTCCATCTCCCCACCTCCTTTGAATAACTCCGTGGCAGATATTATTCGTCATCGCGCGCGCAAACGGAAGGGGATTGTCCCCGACCCGGAAAAGGAAGCTGAGGTACGAAAGAACTACTCTCTCCGATTCCCATCACCGATCCCGACTATGAAGGTCGTCCTGGATATCGAGACGTCGATCATCCTGCTTACTACAGGATTGTTATTTGCTGGCTTCTATGCTGTCATGACTGGTGCGTCAACGTCTTTCCATAAAATATATCACTTCAACGATATCCATGCTGCGTTAATGTACCTCCCCATTGGCGGAGGAGGGGTGCTGTCAGCTTTCACGACTGGCCGACTGGTTGACTGGAACTACCGCCGTCATGCAAAACGTGCCGGTCTCCCTGTCGTCAAGAATGTGCGTGCGGACATCAGCAACTTCAACATTGAGCGAGCGAGACTGGAAGTCGCACTCCCGCTTTACTACATTAGTAATGTGTCGATGCTGACCTACGGCTGGGTGTTGGGTCACAAGGTCAACCTTGCTGCTCCTATCATTCTTCTGTTCATCATCGGATGGTCGATTATTGGAACCTCACAGGTTTTGAATGCATTGATGGTTGATCTTTGGCCGGGAAAGTCGGCGGCCGCGACTGCAGCAAACAATCTATTCCGGTGTGAGCTCGGTGCCGCGGCATCTGCAGCGATCAGCCCTATGACCGCTGCCATGGGCGATGGCTGGGCATACACCACGCTTGCATTGATCTCCATTGCCGTTTCTCCTTGCTTGTGGGTAGTGGCACGTAATGGGATCAAGTGGCGGCAGAGGAGAAATCGAAAGGAGGAGAAATCGTCTAGTGGACAGGACTAAATCAGCCTTGATATGTATTGCACGAGCACATGAACTCACGGATTCGGTCTAGAGGATACATCTGGGAAATGGCTTTGAACTTCTTTTCTGAATTCCTCGGTTACTCACAAATGAACTTTGCTTAACCTTCGCTTTCATCGGGAGGTCTTCTTAGTCTATGTCAATTAGCTTTGCACATCAGCCCAAATACCTCCTTCCAGGGCGCCATATTTCAAATACGAATACCTTCTAGATGAGGGTGCACACATGTTTAGGATAATCATCCTCCTGGGGAGGTCATTTGTCTTCCAGCACTTTGCGTAGGGATGGGTGATGTAAACTACAAGGACATAGAAAACAATTCCTAAAAAAATCAAGAGCCGGTTGAATAAGGAGTACAAGCAGAACAATACTCGACTATCATTTTGATATCCTGATATCTGGTTCACACGAGACCCACCACTCTTAAATGGTGGATGCTCATATAAAGATCAACCCGTGCGGAGAGTTGTGGACTGAATCCTAGGCATAACCCACTGTATTTGCCCAGTTTGTCCAGATGTATATCTAGTGCCCGCTTGTAACCGCGGCGGAGACCGCCGAGAATCCTTGCCGATAAAAATGACCCGCGGGTATGTTGTAGACAAAAGAATCTCTGGGGAATCGCCGCTAGGTCCTCCAACCCTTGGAAAGTGGCTTAGCAAATTGCGATTCCCGGAGTAGACCTCTCCATACCGGGAAGAAGTAAATCGCGCAAGGAACCCCGGGCCAAACTACCAATACCTCTCTGGTTTTGTCATACAATTGAAATTGGACAACAAATGCAGGTTCTAGTAAATGTTCCTTTCTCCTGGAATGTATTCAATCAAAATATTCGGTAATGTCTAATATTCTGCCTGCAGAATCAGCGGAAACGGCTCCCGAAATCCCCCGGTAAGCCACCGGCCCGTGTTCACCGCCTTACCAAGATAGGCCAGCTTTACGGCTACAGTCCCGTCGTAGGCGGTGAAGCCAAGCAATACCGCAAAAGCTCAGTCATTTCCCGTACTCGAATCCACCCACCCTATTTGCGCACTCCCAACAACTTCAATCCGCTCGCATCGAGGATTGCATTTATATCTAAAGACAACTAGTCTTTCTGTTCCTTCTTTCGTTATGTTCCGCGCCGTTTTGCCCCGGGCTACGCCCCGGTCTGCCCTCCGCCATGCCGGCCCGAAGGCTGTTCCCAACAATTTTGCTACTCCCATGATCTTCATTGGCCACTCAAAACGTGGTTTCGCATCTGAAGCAGGTAAGTTGGTGCTTCCATCACTATCTTGGAGTTCCTAGAGAGGTTCGCTTTGCTTCCCGGATGTGATTGCTGATTTCCGCTTTCCCGGGCAATAGGTGATCACGACCTGGTCATCATTGGTGGTGGTGTCGCTGGTTACGTTGCCGCTATCAAGGCCGGTCAAGAGGGTCTCAAGGTATGAACTACTACTCAATATTTCCGGCTTTGGATTAGGCCGGTCTTGCCGTTACAATCCGCATACTAACTGAACAACTTGGCAGACCGCGTGTATCGAGAAGCGCGGAAAGCTCGGCGGTACCTGCTTGAACGTCGGCTGTATCCCTTCTAAGTCTCTCCTCAACAACTCCCATCTCTACCACCAGATTCTTCACGACACCAAGAAGCGCGGTATCGAGGTCGGCGATGTCAAGCTCAACCTTAACCAGATGATGAAGGCCAAGGACACATCTGTTGATGGTCTCACCAAGGGTATTGAGTTCCTGCTCAAGAAGAACGGCGTCGACTACATCAAGGGTGCCGGTTCTTTCGTCGATGCCAACACCATTAAGGTCGCCCTCAACGACGGTGGTGAGCAGAGCGTGCGCGCTAAGAACATCATCATCGCCACCGGCTCTGAAGCCACCGGCTTCCCCGGCTTGGAGATCGACGAGAAGCGCATCATCACAAGCACTGGTGCTCTTGCTCTCACTGAGGTCCCCAAGAAGATGACCGTCATTGGTGGTGGTATCATCGGTCTTGAGATGGTATGTATTGACCACGGAATGAGTTTTGATTGTTGGATCGTGTTAACTCTTTATCGTGATATTAGGCTTCCGTCTGGTCCCGTCTCGGCGCTGAGGTCACTGTCGTTGAGTTCCTCGGCCAGATCGGTGGTCCCGGCATGGACGTCGAGATCGCCAAGCAGGCCCAGAAGATCCTGGGTAAGCAGGGTATTAAGTTCAAGACCAGCACCAAGGTCGTCTCCGGTGACGCCAGCGGTGCTACCGTCGCCCTTAACATCGAGGCCGCCAAGGGTGGCAAGGAGGAGGTTTTGGACTCCGACGTTGTCTTGGTCGCTATTGGTCGTCGCCCCTACACCGAGGGCCTGAACTTGGAGCAGGTCGGAATCGAGAAGGACGACCGTGGTCGTCTGGTCATCGACCAGGAGTACCGCACCAAGCTCCCCCACGTCCGTGTCGTCGGTGACTGCACCTTCGGTCCCATGCTGGCCCACAAGGCCGAGGAGGAGGCCGTTGCCGCCATCGAATACATCAAGACTGGTTACGGCCACGTCAACTACGCCGCCATCCCCAGTGTTATGTACACCCACCCCGAGGTCGCTTGGGTCGGCCAGAACGAGGCCGAGATCAAGGCCTCCGGTGTTAAGTACCGTGTCGGTACCTTCCCCTTCAGCGCCAACTCCCGCGCCAAGACCAACCTCGACACCGAGGGTGTTGTTAAGTTCATCGCCGATGCCGAAACTGACCGCATTCTCGGTGTCCACATCATCGGCCCCGGTGCCGGTGAAATGATTGCTGAGGCCACTCTCGCCATTGAGTACGGTGCTTCCTCCGAGGACATTGCCCGTACTTGCCACGCCCACCCCACCCTCTCCGAGGCCTTCAAGGAGGCTGCCATGGCCACCTACTCGAAGGCCATTCACTTCTAAACGTCCTCAGATCTCATATATCCTCCCACCATGTACCACTTTTAGCTAACCTAGACTAGCTCGGCTAGCAAAATACATCATTCATGTAATCTTTCCCTTATTTTCGTGAAATACACATGCTGCATACCTTGAAAGAACCGTTGTACACGAGTGTAGTAAAATTCCTCTTAAGTGCAGAAGCCTAACATACCCACTTATGTGCAGTCTAGCCAACCTGCCTATTGCCGAGAGTGACATGGAAATGTTTAATCTCTACGGTCCACGCTTACTATCCAGACTGCTACTAGGTAGGGAATTCTTGGAGAATACTTCAACCATCTATATATTAATCTATGCATCTATCTGTACCCATATATATCCCTCGTCTTTTCCCTTCTCGGCTTTTGTCAAAAAAACCTTCACGCAACAGTAGCCTTCAAGAACACCTCTCGGATCTCCTTGAGATCCTTCTTCTCAGCTAACAACAACCCAAGCAGAATCCTCGACTGCTGGGGGTTGAACATCCCACTGGCAATCTTGGTCTTCGCGCTCTCCCCGGTGAAATCAGCAGTGGGGACTTCACCGTTCACAGTACGGTGTGACAACACAACGGGGATGTTGTGCTTCACGACAATGTCATTGATAGCAGAACCGAAATCGGTGGAAACACCACCAGCGCCCTCGCCAGCAATCTATTATGAGATCAGTACTGTACTGCTGAACATATTCGGATCTCACGGAACTGGGGGTAAGTAACATACCACGATACCCTTCGCACCATTCTTCACAGCACTATAAATCGAATCGACCTGCATATCCTCATAGGCATACAGGATATCCACACGAGGCACGGCATCCACATTGGACACATCAACCACGTGCTTAGCATTTGCCTGCACAGCCGGGTAATAGAAGTACGGTTTATTCGACACGATGAATCCCAGACTTCCCTGCTCATACGCCTTGAAGGTATCCATAGTGTTCGCACTTGTCTTTGTTGCAAAGAGAGCGGAGACAATACGGTCGTTCAGAACAACTAGTGCTCCACGGTCTCTGGAGTTCTTGTCTGCAGCGACGGTTACTCCCTGCAGGAGGTTCATGGGTCCATCCGCGGAGATAGCCGTAGAAGGCCGCATCGAGCCGACGAATACAATTGGTTTGCCGCAGTTTACTGTGGCGTCGATGAAGAAGGCGGACTCTTCGAGGGTGTCGGTGCCGTGGGTGATGACGGCTCCGGAGATGGTTGGATCATCGCAGACTTGTGTCTGGAGTGTGTGGGTGAGGTTTAGGAGGAGGGATGAGGAGATGTCGCCGCTGTTGACGTTGTGTGCCTGGACGGCGGCGATGTTGGCGACATTGAAGATATCTGGTATCCCGGAGAGGAGGGTGTTGATTCCTAAGTCGCCGGATTTGTAACCTGCTGTTGCGGTTTTGTCGTCGCTTGTGCCGGCGATGGTGCCGCCTGTTCTTTTTGGTTAGGGGATATTGTGTGACGTGGATTTATCATGTTATATGTTATTTATAACTACTTACCAGTGGCTAGGATGGTCACATTAGGAAGAGAACCGTTGAAGTGATTGAATGTCAAGCCGTTGGAGTTTGTATAGGATGTGTTTGCTGCCCGGGGGTAGACTAAAGGAGAGGCATAGCCTGTAATGGCTAGAGCAGAAATAGCGAGTGTCTGAAGAGTAACCCCCATTCTGATTGTGATTCTTGACTTAAGTCAAGTGAAAGAGAAATATGGGATGTGGGATATGGGATATATAGTACAAAAGGTAGATGAGACCGGCATTGGACATGGTTTATATATATTCTGATATATTCGGACAGAGTGTCAGACATGCATCATCCGATTCTTACGGGCCCGACGCCGAATTCGACGAATCTTTCGAATTTAAGTTACTTGGCGATAAGTTTCACCCGGGAGTGATCCTTGCCAAGTACCCCAACCTGCAGCAGAGTCTCCACAACTCCTCAACGTGCAATCTATCTTTTATTAGGGATTAACGGCATTAACGGCATGATCAACTAAAATATGCAAATAAGTCGTAAGTCTCTCGACACTCGAAACAGGAAGAATAAATACGATCACTGTCAGGTGGTTCTTGACTGCGTGAAGAGATATATATCTTCTACAACAATAAAAAATAATCCCCAAAAGGGGGGAACGTAAATATAGCGCGGGCAATTTTCGGAGGCAGTTTGAAACACCTTTAAACCTCTTAGGCTATAGCACCCACTATAATGACGTCGATCTCAGAAGTTCAAACGGTAATCGTGCCAAGGCCAAGGCACCTGCCGGGTGTTGATGGGCTTGGCATGATATAGCTACATTATGTAGATACTAGTACGAGTTACTACTACAGTAGAAAGAGTGGAGGAGAGAGAATTGGAGGACCTCGGGAGTTAGTTGGGTTAAGTAATATCGTGCAGATCGCAAATCCTGCGATTTGTAGTACTTTGTTCCATATGTTTCTAGGTTTATTCGACTGATAAATATATATCAGCCAAGTCCGAATGTAGCCGAATTTCTTTACTGTATATTTCCACATAAGACTCGATCGATCTCTTCCTTCCAAGGTTGGATATTTACTTCGACTATCTCTATAGCTCTCTCGTATATCATGCTCCACTCGCATTCCCAAAAGGATCGCTATTGACTAGTACCTAGGTAACATTATTAACTTTATCCTTGGCAGGGATCAATGCCGACGATCAGTATTCTAAGGCACCCAATCTAGAAGCGTAGCCGGGCCATGCCTAGAAGGATCGGTCCGTGACGATGGATAAAAAGCAACGAGGCGAGAAAAAAAAAAAAAAAAAGACCGGATCCCACGTGCGTACTCCAAAAATGATCGTGATATAGTTAAATAAAGCAAGGAGTTCACCGTTCGCTAGCGCGGTGGGGCTTTAGGTTGCAATTGCTTTTTGAACGTGTTATACTACCTCAATTCCGCCGACTAGTTATTTTATTCCCAAGGTTTTTTTTTTGGGATTAAATATTGAAGGCATCAAAAAAACATCAAAAAAAGAAAGAATACTCCGATAGGGGGAATCGAACCCCCGGCTGCCGTGTGAGAGACGGCGATGTTAGCCACTACACCATATCGGATATTGGATGGAAATTGTTTTAGATTTAGCCTTGACCTCCGCACTTGGCTTTGTGCGTACTGCGACTACGGCAGTTATGGGCATCTGTAGTTGCTCCCTCAAAATAATGAGGAGACGCTGCATCTGCTCGCCACATCAACCATCAGCGCCAAACCAAGCGAAATGAATATTGTCAACCTCATAAAGCCGCTTCTCATCTCGCTCAATGAAGCAGATATTGCCGGTTTGTGTGATTGGGGAGGTTGTCTTAAACTACTACAATGTCCCTCGAGTCATTCATATAAGTCTTCGCCATCACCATACCGCCGAAGGAATATTCTTTTCTCACCTCTGGTAGGATATCGAGATTTGTGTCCCTGAGTTATCGCTGCCAGAGGTCGTATCCAATGTGTCCTCGACCACCGAGTTAGAACGAGCAGAAGTAAAGGACTACGATCTATTCACAGAATACAAGAGAGGATTCCCAACATTCAAGGCATCAAATACCAGTCTCCGGTTAATCGTCTTCCCCGACACGCATTTCGGCATCGCTCCCCTACAACGGAGTTGCACCGAGCGACGAAAGAGCATCGACTGCCTGCAGCAAACAAATACTTGATTTAGTCCCTCAGTGCGAAGTTCAGGATCTTCCTATGCCCCGTCTGCCTAATCTGTTCACTGGGCTTTGCTCGAGATTCTTCGAGTTAGGAAATCTCATGGCTCGCATAGCCGTGGAGCAACTGGTCGATGGGATGAACCTCGACGATCAAAGTGAGGAATTTAGCCGCTCAGCTTGTCCTCGAAAAAGGATCTCGGCATGAAGAGGATATGGCTTTGAGAGCAATGCATTCTGACTTCGATGCTATCAGAATGCAGGATCTAAGCTCGATACCTGGGTCTGGTTTTTAATAGCTGTTGAATCGCTGGCTTGTAATAAGACTAAATCTTCATTGGAGCGTTTGTTTGTACTGGTTTCCGACTGAGCGCCAAAGTCGATTTTATCATATAACAAAATGTCTGTTGGCTTTGGTTATTTCGTGGCGTTCCTAAGCGCCTAACATCTTGTGGGAGTTTACGGCCGCTAGGTCGAGCATTGCCTAGTTGGAAAGCTCATTGCACATCACAAACATTTATCGCCAGTGACGACTGACTTGCCGCCCAGGATGTTGAGAATAAATTTCGGGCCTCTGTTGTACCTAGGTACGCTATAGTTACGTACCATTTTTCCTCTACCAGTGTCAGCATTAGAGGAAGCACATGGGGGTCATTTTGCATGGCATTCAAATCCCTATCTAGTGCTTGTGAGACTAAAAATTGATGAAGTTGGACCGACCAGTCTGCCCGCGGGCCAGACAATTCACTCGTTTTCACGGGCCATATCTAACCATGATTGATACTCTGATGACATTGATATCATCATCAAAGATCGATGCTCTTCGGGCGTCAGTGTTCTCTTAGGCTTGTCGGTAAGCCCCTCCTCCACAGCAAGCATAGCAAGCCGCCTCGCGACTTCGGGGATACCCGCACTGCGTTTAACATCCACAAGATTAATCTCGGTCGGCTCCATCTCTTCTTGCAACTCATTCAAGACGGTGAAAAACGAAACGTCTGGCTGTGTGATAAATGATGGTCTATCAAGAACCACTGCGAAGAATTTGTGTGCAATGGGCTCGTATGCATGGTCGCCAATGCCGAAAGGCAATGTTCGTTCTTGGCGAGTATCAGCGTCGAAATTGTGTAAAGCACCGACGGGAAACTCGTTGCGCCGAGAGAGCAGGCAGGACAATGATGATGAGCTAGGAGTTTTGAACTGGAGGCGAATCGACTTGTTGAAGCCAAGCTGAGAGATGATTGCCGGCCGCTGTGAATGTTCGAGCTGTTGTTTCCAAAAGCGAAGAATCTTTTATGTCTGCCAAGAATAGAACGTAAACCACATATTGAATATCGCAGTCCGAGGATTTGTTTGATGTTGTCAATGTGGCATCATTCCATGTAAGGTGGAGTTTACTTTGATCCACAGCCTTGATTTCGTCTGTTTCCTGTCTCTTAAGAATTTCCTTGGTTTGTTGTGCATCGAACTTTGTTTCCACCGGTAAAGCCTCACCAAACCCATGTCGCCGAGGTTGACAAAATTCATGAAAACCCCATTCAGAAGATCAGATACAGTGTCATCCATGTATTCTTGGTCATTGATGAGTTTGGCACTCGTTTCATTCGTTTCAGGGGACACTTCAATCTGACCCTTTCGAAAACGGTTGTAGTTCAGTAACGACGAACCCAGCCGGGTGATCATACTCAACTTCGGGATTTCACTAGGAAATTTCCGATTAAAAATGATCCACAGGGGCCCGGTTCCAAGATCATTCCGCTCCTCTGCATCAAAGCCAGCTTGATAGCTTTCCGATGTAAGGAGAATACAGAAGCCGGACCCAAAATCATTTTGAGTGCTTGCTCGAAGGGTTGGAATCAATAGCGGCAACACTTCGGGAGAATTTTCTGTTTGAGCATGGAGACACTTGCGGTAGGCAATCTCCCGCCGTTGGTGTTCAACGCAGGCGAGGGCGTCGGGTGGGCTGTAGGAGTAGATTTCCATGAAACATCCATGTACCAGTTCTTGGAAAAAGTAGTCGTGCAAATTTTGAAAATCCTTTGGTTTTATGGGGGGTTTGCTGTAAATCTGAAGTCGAAATGCATCTCGTCCTTCTGGTTGATGATATTCACGATCACTGGAAGCAATCTTTCCAAGAATGACGGTGTCACCTTGATGATCAGGGTATTCACGTTGCCGCCATTTGGGACCGGTATAGTCAGGATCGGGTCTCGTCTGTTCTGTTCTAGTCATCTTAGGTGTCAAGTAGAATATGCACGGAAGTCGAAAACGAGATATTTCAATTGTGAGTAACAATCACCTTGGGTTAAGGACGCGGTCCCGCAGGCTCGCGTCTTAGGCGGTGGCTAAGCACTATTAATTCCCGGCCGACCCGCCGAGCACTGTAGGATAAAGGGCTCGTAATACGTCTACCCAGCCCTGGAGGGCATAGTGGCCAGGGTTACTTTCGGATTTAATGCAATGCATTACGGCCTTAATGCCTTAATTTGGCCTTAATTTGGCCTTAATTTGGCCTGATGTTGGCCTTAATCCTGACCGCTTTTAGATCTAGGATACAGTGTATTGTAAAGCCTTCGGCACGGAATAACTAGTCCGCCGTCGACAACTTCTTTACCACCTCACTCCGTTAAGATAAGCTCAATGGATTTAGTTTTTATTTTATAAAATAGAGAATTAGTAGGGATTGCGCCAAGACAGGGTACCCCTGTCAGAGGTTATCGCGACCACTTTGCTTATATAATGTTTATTATTACCTTGGTATTATTATATCTTTTGCAGTTTTATTGACCTACCCAATACCATGTCTTTGTTACAATCTCTTTATTACCACAGACAGATAACTAGAGAGAGAGGAGACAAACATTCAGCGCCTGACCAATCAGGCGGCCATACAGGTCACATGACCCCATGCTCCACAATAGCTTATGAATGTGATGAAATTAGAATCATGGAGAAGATTTAAAGGGAAAAAACAACGAAGATAAACAGTTTTCTGAACATTCGGAAGGTCTGACAGTACAAGTAATTCCCTCCGCACAACAATCCTTCGTTCCGTAGTCTCCTTGTAGCGAGACAACGTCATCCTCAGCCCCAAATTCCCTCTCTCGGTTTGTCAACGGAGCACTTGTTGTCATCACCACATCGAACTTCATTATCGTAGTCCGCACACTCCACGTTCTTCCCGCCAAAGGCCGCGTTGATGGCACTGCTAACATCTTCATTGGTACAACTCTCTCCTGTGTTGAAGTTGGCGTTCATCGTCTTGCCATCACTGGCAATGTTGCAACCCCAGCCTGTCACCGCGCAGCCGCGACCGTTGACATTGTCGAGGAATCCAGAACCGCATTCGTCATCGGTGTAATCTGTGGCATCGTTGATTACAACGTTCCAATACTGTAGCAGAGGAACTTCTGCTGTCTTTCTCATACACTGCTCGTCAAGGCTCATCTTCGGTTCGGAGGGGTTGATAAATCTGTCTTTGTTTTGAGCGCGAGCTTCCAACACTTTAGGGTTGGTCTGGGCCGTGGGAGATGCTGCAGCGAATGCAATAGCAAGACTCATAACACTGATCTGCTTAACGAAGTGCATAATTGAAGATTTCAACGAAAACCCCAAAAGTTGTGTGAAGTCTTGTAAGGAATAATTGCAATGGCAAGAAATGTGTATAGGTAATTTTTTTTAATGCTTGATTCTTGGGAACACGTTCGCCTTTTATCTTTTGAGACTTCAATCAAATTACCTAATTCCTCGACTACCCCGGGCCCTGTCACCTAAACTTCGCCATCCTCTCCACCATACTAACAGAATAAGGCAAAGAGCTGTAGTATTGTGATTAGTTCTGTCACCGATACGGGGTAAGCTGAACATCAACAGGAAATGGCTCATAGCAGTGCTCTTGGCAACATGAATCCGGAGAAGATCCCCCATCCTTGCACTCCCGAGGTCCACTATATAGCCCTATAACAGGACTGTATACTAAGTATCCACATAGAATGCGTTACGGTATATCCATATTAAAACTCTAGTCCATGGCCTTGTCAACCTTGCGCTCCGCCTCATAATTATTTATAAAAGATCGTCGCGGTCAATGCTGAATGAGGCATTTTGTTAGAGAGAAAAATGATAACAGCTATCATTTGAAAATCCGACTCACAACCTATAAGTACGAGCCTTTCTTCTGTTCAAGCATCATTCAAGAAATCAGATTCCCCCAAAGCCCGAGAACCAAAGCAAACCACAAACACAACAATCCTCTGCGAATCAATTCGCTCTCTATTCCATCATGCTCAAAAAAGTCCTCCTTGCGGCCGCCCTCATGGGGTCTACCCTTGCCAATCCACTCTCAGACTACAAGACCCCCCTCGCGCCTCGTGAAGATGGAGAAACGGTCCCTGATGACGATGCGTGCTCAGTGTTTGAAGCGGCGGGTAACAATAATGTGGAGGTCTATGCAACTAAAGAGTCTATGCCAATCGACCAGGTGTGTGGGCAGGGATACCTCGACAATTTCCGTGGACGTTGTGGTATTATCAGCAACTGGGGATGCATGTTCGTGGACGAGAATGTGAAAAAAGTTGAGGAAAAGGAGAAGAATGAGGACCAAATCACGGGTGCCAAGATGACCTTCCACACCAATTCCTTTTGCTCTTCATACGACATTATAGCAGCTATGGCTGTCTCCTCGGCCGCCGACGGGAAGAAACCAGAGAAGTGTTTTGAATCCCCCAAGTGGATGCTCCCATAAGGTTGAACATTTGAGGCCCTTGTTGTTTTTGTGAAATATGTCTCCCTGTTGGCTCGCAGTGCGGGTTAGATCTTAGGGTATAAGAACCCTGTTGAACAATCTCCCAGGAACGCATGCATGTTTGCTACGGACTGAGCCTTTTGCTTTTATTTGCTATTTGTTAGTTTGTTTGCTACAATTGAGGAATGTTTAGTTAGATGGTTTCCAGAATTCCACTTATTCGACAAAGTTATATAGCTTCTGTAGGGATCTTACTACTGCTCCTAAAACGGCATAAGCATAGTCTTGAATCATTAAAGTAGCGGGGTAAACGTCCTCAGGTGCGAGGGATTTCACCACTTCGAGAGCTTCATCTATCTACCTCACTAGCTGGCCGTGGATATTGAGTGTATTGGTAAATGTTAGCTGGAGAGCTTCTTCAGGTGTGTTGGTATCTTCGATAGTCGTCGACATGGTGAAAATGAGTAAGTAATAAAGGTAAGTCGAATTAGGAGGGAGAATCAGAATAGAAAAAGAGATATTCAGGTAGTAGAATGGTTAAGAAACCTCGTGCTCTTTATCTTACAAGTAGAGTAAGCTAATCCAGATCCAATAAAGAACGATAAAGAACGTGGGCCTGGTTTTTATGCAGCTTAGACACATGGCAGCTTGGACAGTGCTCTGTATGAAGAAGTATTGTAGAATCTACCAATGGATGTTTATGGAGAAACCATGCATTCAGATTCTTTATGTAGAAAGTGGACGGGGAGAGAGAGAAGAGAGAAGGAGAGAGGGAGAGAAACTAGTATCTACTACACATAAATGTGGATCTGTCCCATGTGGGTCCTGGGCCTCAGACATCCAGGCACCCAACAAGAAGCCCTAGAGGAGAGAGAAGATAGTAAGGCGCTCCCGGACAGCAGGAATATGACAAAGGAGAAGTTCATTGCCAAGCACGTGCAGCGTCACTTATGAACACTAGCGTTGCCATTTCGACACGGAGTCCACACCTTGCCCACTTAGTAGCCCCCTGATGTGCGCGCAGCTGCGTAAAAGGAAGGCTGTGTTCGTCGTTAAAGCCCGGATGAGAGAAGCATGTGTAATAATATATCTCAGAAGGTTTGCGACCACTTGACGAGACTAGAGCTCTCTCTCTATCTCTCTCTCTCTGTCTTTTCCTTCCCTTCCCATTCTCGCCCCCAAACGCCAAGCAGCACCGAAAAGCTAGCAATCGTTCTAGGTCTGGGGCTTCTACGCATACTGCAGCTAGTAGCCTTTGCCATCTGCGATGAAGATAGCTCCCCACTGTGGTGTATAAGCTTATGTTTTGAAGGAGCTAGGTTAGGCGCTATTCTGGTGTTACCTCATAATTGATTGTTAACAAGTGGCCGCACTAAGGGACGGCGGCTTCTAAAGTGGGGCTCTCTTTCTTACTTTTGCTCTTTCTGGCCTGACGTTGCCAGCAAGGGTGCGTCTTGGTCACCACTCACGGCCAGGAAGACATCTATTGAGGCGACAAGTCCCTGTCGTAGACACTATGTTTCGGGAGAAGACATTGGAGCCTGAGTATAAATGAGTTTGTTTTGAAAGCCTCGCAAATTATGCGCTGGACTCAACCTCCGTCGCCAAACGCCATCTTCTTTTCTCCATTGGAGGAGATTCAGAATCCGTCCGGGGTCATAACGCGGGGTAGTGACCGTCCGGGGTAGAACTCGCCGAGCCCAGAGCGCGCGGATAAGATGACACCGAGACGTGTCCGACTCTGGGATTCGCCAGGTTATTTAAGGATCGATAATATTTATCTTGAATCCTGCACGTCCAATTTCCCTCCACTAAGCATGGTATTTTACAGAGATAGAGAGATCAAGAATCATGAGCATTAGACTTCATGTTCGGAGGCCAGCGATCAAAGACATTCTGAATGGCTCACGTTTGCTAAACATTTGCCCGTGGTACTCGATACCTGGAGTCAAGCACTAGCGCTTATTCTCTCTCAACTCCTCTATTAAATTTACTAGCTCATTATGATAGGCTCGACAGAGCTGAACCACTCTGATAGGGCATTAGGAGTGCCGGATTTTAGAGTGCATGACTCGCACTAACTGAACGAGGATTCTGAACTCTCCACGATCCAAAGTAGGGAATTATCCGGCGAATGAAACGCCACATGTAGACGCAAACCACCACATCGAGTCACAAAATTGCTACTTATAGCGTACCCCGCAAATGAACCATAACATTCCCTCCCGACTAGTATCTATCGGGACTAGCACCTGTCGGATTACTTTGCTCGACAAGATCCCACCATGATCAAGTGACACTGCTACCGTAGTGCCCGGGAAAATGACCCTCATGATTGGAGATGTTGAGTTCAGGAGGTCAAGGTCCGGAGCAAGCGTCACTCAATTCAGCTAAGATCGGGATCACCATTACGAGCGTGTCGTCGCAGGTATAAAGATCTGAAACCCCCTGTCGTGCCTGCCTCTCTTTCATTTACCCGTTTCTCTCAGAAATCGTCGACATGAATAGCGGCATCACAGAGAAGCAGACCTCAGCGTCAGAGGTCGAGCCGCAGCCCACCTCCATGGGCGGACCTGTTTACGATGTCGGCGAGAAGGTCGACTACGACAGAGCGGGCGCCATCGATGCCGAAGTGCTCGAACATAGTATGACTGTGATCCAGGCTGTCAAGGCTTATCCCGCTGCCAGCTGGTGGGCATTCGTGATGTCATGCACCATTGTAAGCTCTTGCCCACGATAGGCAGATCATTTCTCTAACGTCACGATAGATCATGGAGTCATACTGTGTTTTCTTAATGGGACAGTTCATAGCGACACCAAAATTCGCCGAGCACTTTGGTGTATACAGCGAAAAAAAAGATGAGTGGATTATCGAAGCTTCATGGCAGTCAGCATTCCAGTGTAGCGGGCCAGTCGGTGCCTTCATCGGTGTATTCATGGCAGGTCCCATTACCAGTTGGATTGGATATCGATGGGCAACCATTGGCGGTCTCATGTTCTTGAACGGCTTCATCTTCATCTTCTATTTCAGCAACAGCCAGGGGATGTTTCTTGCGTCCCAGATCCTGGAAGGCCTCCCGTGGGGGATTTTTATAGCCAATGCACCCGCCTACTGCGCCGAAATTGTGCCAATGAGATTGAGAGCTCCAGCGACGCAGATGTTGCAGATGTTCTGGGCGATTGGGTCGATTATAGTCGGCGGTATCACTTACCACTACCAATCCAAGCCTGACTCGTCCTCGTACAGGTTCGTCCACTTCCATAGGTGCCATCGAGGAGCACCGTACTAACCGTCATCCCAGAGTTCCCATCGCACTCCAGTGGATGTTTCCTACTCCCCTCGCTATCCTACTCTTCCTTGCGCCTGAATCGCCCTGGTGGCTCGTACGGCAGGGCCGTCTAGCTGAGGCAGAGAAGGCTGTCAAACGCCTTGGACGCGCGAGTGCTAATGATAATCCCGCTGACGCAGTCGCAATGATGCGTCGCACGATCGAACTCGAGAAGACTGAGAAGAAGCCCAGTCTTGTTGAACTGTGGAGAGGTACCGATCGCTACCGCACATTGATTGTGTGCTGTGTGTACGCATCTCAGAATCTAACGGGCAATCTAATTGCTAACCAAGCGGTTTTCTTTTTCAAACGTGAGTCGAGCCATTTCCTGCAACCTCATAGCAGACTAACACCAGCTCAGAGGCCGGCATGCCAGGCAATACCGCATTTGCACTTGGTCTCATTACTTCTGCCCTCCAGTGGATCATGGTCATGCTCTCTTGGATCATCACCACATACCTCGGCCGACGCACAATCTATGTCTATGGTCAACTCATCAACTGTACATTCTTGATTGCGCTCGGTATTGCGGCTTCAGTTGGCGCTAGTAAGGCCGCTAGCAATGCGCAAGCATCACTTGGCTTGATAGTATCCGTCCTTTTCTGCTTGGGACCTGCCCCTGCCTCATGGGTCATCATCGGCGAGACATCTTCCGTTCGTCTCAGGCCACTGACAACCGGTGTTGGACGAGGTGCCTACTACTTGGTCAATATTCCTTGCATCTTCCTTTCCAGCTACATGCTCAACACTGATAAATGGGACCTGGGCGGCAAGAGCGGCTACATCTGGGCTGGTACCGCCTTTTTCTGCACCGCCATGTCTTGGATCTGGGTTCCAGAGATGAAGAACAGATCCTTCCGTGAGATCGACATTCTGTTCCGGCGTCATGTCCCGGCTCGGAAATGGAAGCAGACAGTCATCGATATCCGCGATGATGAATAGATGGAAATCGCTGTTCGGAGAAGCCTGAGTGGATAAATTGAGTAATATCCCTATGATTGACTACATCATTAAACTAGTATTGCTGTTTCATTTCGGCAGCTGTCTAGATTCTTATATCCAGGACTACAAGTAGTGACAAATTTCAGGAGGACACTCGTAATATCTATCCCATTCGCCATGCTGGCCCATCTTAGAAAATCGTCCATCTTAGAAAATCCCTCCAGCCCGGCGCCACAGATAGCAACTTTCATCCACCCAATGTCCTTCACGGCATATCCTTCGATAGGGTCGTGACTATTGAGCTCCAGACGTATAGCCTCCAACCCATCGTCTTCTAAATATTCGGGATCGTGGTCGTCAAGTGACTCTGCTTTCCACCCGAAATAGATGTGGTCTCTTTAATATCTACATTCAAGAAAGTAGTCTTAATATCCACATAGTGGAGAAACCAGTCCAAAGCTATAGCAATTACATAGAAAACTTTGAAATATATAGGTTTTACAACCACGGTATAAACCTCGTGGAAATCAACATCCTTAATTTGATTAAATCCACGTGTAACTTGGCGGGCTTTGTAGCGGCCTATATCTTTATTAATATCAAAGACCCAACGTAAGGTAAGCGGCTTACAATTCGTCTTGTTTGACTTTCGATCGACTGTCTTCTAGGTGCCGTTCTTGATGTACGCTTTCAATTCAATGTGCGCAGCTATCAACCACTTCTCGCGTTCAACGTAGTTCATAGCGTCAACCCATCCATTGGGTATATAGCCGACGTCACGCGGTGTCAACTTGTTATTAATCGGAGCGGAGTCTTCGATGTCACCTTCTATAGCAGCTTTGTTGTCTGTGGCAGTCGCAAAGACAGACAGGATAACTTCATTCATCTGATCAGCAAAGACAACTATTTTAGATGGGTCCAAGCCGGCGCAGTGAGCAGCCAGATGCTCCAACATGGCACGGTTAGGCTTATGGATCCTAGTTGACCGGCGCAGTGGTGGTTGTTCAGGTTCCATTGATTCATGAAGCAGGTTAGGTAATGATGATGCAACCGGCAGATTTGGGTCCTGACCAGGCAAAGCTGGATCTATGTTTAGATCACCATCAAGCTGGATTTTCTCCTGGGTAGCAGATTGACGCCGGGCGTCCTGGGTAGGTTCAGAATCCACGATCGCAGGGTCCACCCTTGGGTTTTCCTCCGGCCCCACCTCCTTTTGTGCCTCCACTCCAATGTTTTTGACGCCCGCTATCCTGCCGGACAAGTATCGACTAATAAAAGACCGAGGATAGCGGACGGTGCAGCTACTTAGGAAGGCGGTAGCAGAAGAGGCGTTGTAACATTTTCTATGTCACTTGTTCATAATAACCCTAAGCTCCTCGAAGAAATCAAGAGTCTATTTAGTAGTATACCTAGGAGTATTATCGTATATAACAATTGGATCTTACTCCTTTCTTAGACGGAAGAAGCCATCTATCATGACACGTATAATATAGGATTCAATATATAGGTATAAGAACTTATAATGTAAAATTGAATCTGAAGTGAATCTGAATTGAATCTGAATTGAATCTGAACTGCATGAGAACCATAAGGAGCGTTTCTGGCTTTGGCATCCTATACGGTTTCAAGTCCTGGGCCAGATTTTGGTCCACGTGAACGAACTTGTCTATTTCCGTCTCCCCCCAGAAGAACCAGGAGCGAGAGTGGGCAGCGGGTCATCCATTCCCAGCCATAAGGCTAAGCAGCCCGATATGGTAAAAGGGCGTTGAGTGGGGTCCGGTCGGTCAGAGCAACGAAGGAATATGAATGGCTGCATAACCCACATGTCTTCAACCCCGAAATGCTCTCGTAGGTATTCAAAGAGCAAGTCATGATATCTATTCCCTAAGGATGGGGTCGATCCATCATCAAGCAGTGAAAACTCGTTAAAGTCGAGGGCGGATGATTCAATACAATACGCTGAGTTGATTGCAGATTCCTCAGTTTTCAAGGTTGGGAACTCGGACCTGGCCCAAGGTGGGAGGGATGAATGCCTAGTCTTAACAGGGCTGAATGATGGTCGCTTTCGCCGGTTCTGCTTTAATGTCAAAGTTGATGTGCTCGCCATGGTGATATTTCATCGGTATGAGATTAATCGCGGTGATAGAAAGATGGGACAAGAAACTAGACGTTATTGGCCAGGAAAGTGGGGAGGAAATCTCGGGAGCCACGCCCGAACTATATTAGTAATCAGCATCTGGTTGTGATGACAAATAATTCAGTTGGCCTCGCCAATGTGACTGCTAGCGGAGTAACGAGTATTCACAATCACGTCAGTTCTCGGGACCTGCCACGCTTCTTGGCAGGATACAATGGGGCGGTAATGGACGTGTTTCTAATCAATGATATGATTCAGAGGGAGAAACAATGCAGGTAGATTCGTAATGTGTGAAGTAGACAGGGAGGAGAGAGAGAAGGAGAGAGAGAGAATCTATCTACTACATGGATGTATCTGTCCCATGTGGGGCTATGTGCCTCAGGCACCCATGCAACCAACAGTCTCGCGTAGCTTTGGCGGCTTCCTGCGCATGTGATGTGTTGTAAGTGGAAGAACGTAAAGGCCGAAAAGGATGCCATGGGAAAGCCCCGATGGACGACCGGGTGGATATCGTCCTCTAGGTGAGCCACTCGCCCCTTTGGCCAGTTGACTTCCCACATGCCGTGCACAAGCGTGCCAATAAATTCCGGCGGTTGGGTTCTGGCCAGGGAATCTGGAAAAGGCCATTATCTCACTGCTGCGTACAGACAGACAAAAAACTTTCATTTGCTTTCTACAGTACAAGATTGGAATTTTCATATTCATAGTGTTTTTCATATACTATTTTTGCTCTCACATACATGCTGTATAGAACGCTGTTTTTATAATCAACATGATATTGGCCTCATGGGTTAAATAGAAAAATATACAACTAGCCAGGTGATCTCCTACGGTGAGAACAATGAGAATTAAATAGGTTTTTGATTGCTATTCTATCTTTATGTCTGCTATAAGCTTTGCAAGGTTGATATCTGATTAGCAATACCTTCTGAATAACTAGCCGTCAGGTCTACGCGTGGGTCGACTCGGACGTTGGAGTATCCGAGGAAGTCCCGGGTTCCGCGGACCCCCAGGGCTTCTTGGATCGATATAAGTATCACTAAATATCTGGAAGGTACGTTCTATTATAACCCTACATCACTCTTGTTCTAAGAAACAACAGCTCTAATGACGGATCCACTTCAGCTCGCGAATGCCGCAACCTTGGTTTCTCACAACTACTATCCACCTACCATACATCTACCCCAGTATGTGGACAATGAAAGCTCTGCAATCTCGATAATTATTCAATTCGGCTTTCTATGGGTAGCTGTATTGGGAATAGCCTTGATTATCATATCTCGTGTGCGACCGGCTGCTAGTCAATCAGATAAGCTTGCCTTTGTTTGGATGTGCCTAAGTGAGTTCTACATTCTCCGTTCTCCTTTACTAAATGAGACAGACCTTCGAGCATAAGCTTATCTATATATAACAAACCAGCGGGATTCATCCATCTCTTTTTCGAAGCATATTTTGTCATCAACCACAAAACGCTCGCAGGCTCCCAAGAACTATTCGGTCAACTATGGAAGGAGTATTCTCTTTCTGACTCTCGTTACTTGACATCCGATCCCTTCCTCATCTGTATGGAAGCTGTTACTGCAGTGCGTCCACATACCTCTGATTCAAAGATGAAATTTACATGTTACTGACCACCTTGCTAGTTCGCATGGGGCCCTCTTGCGTTCTGTATCGCATATTGCATTGCAGTACAGCATCCCGCACGTCATGCTCTACAGCTTCTGATTTCCGTGGGCCAGGTGTATGGTGATGTTCTTTATTATGCAACGAGTCTGCTTGAAATCTCGTACTGTCGACCAGAAGGATATTACTTCTGGTTCTATTACTTCTTCTTCAACTTCATCTGGATGCTTGTTGGTTGCTGTACGTATTTGTTCCCATCTGTGGTCTTTGATTTGCTGACATATTTTTGTTAGACTATGCGACGCAAAGCATTACGGAGATAACGAAGGCTTTCGCGAAGCTGCAAGACTTTGGGAAGAGTCAGAAAAACTTCAAAACGGAGAATGTCCTTAAGAAAGGGGACTAATGTGGAAGGAAATCAATCCTCTGCAAATCTGTAATGCCAATCTACCGCTATGTTGAATTGACGAAAATATGCCGGTTTGGCAATTCAATTGATAGATAATTATGCGATGTTTCACATCGAAAAAAGAATTTCGAAACGTGAAAATCCCCCATTGTCCCTCCGCATATTTGTTGGCAATTCACGGCAATATCGCAAACTCCAGTGTTCTCCTTGTTGAGAAAACTGATTGGGTTCGGTGGAGGATTTTTCCTTATATCGACTGCCTTGATGTCGTAGCTACGTGCTCCATGGTTGACTGCATGCGTGTGTGCAGCTGGCTTCCAGCCAACGTTGTTATCCGGGATTGGGGATAAGCATTCTAGCTTGTTAAGTAGAACAATAAACTATGATTCAGTTGAAGGAAACATTCCTAGCTAATAATACATCTGGGCACTCAAGGAGAAGAGGAAAAACAAAGCAAAGCGGGATGGATATATAGCGAGAATAACGCAGAGCCGAAGCAACGGGCAGAAGGATAACAAATAGCAAACAAAAGAAGGCTCAGTCTGCAGCAAACAATCATGCATGCATGCATGCATGGGAGTTCAACAATCGTCCTTCGACTGGCTCTCAGTGCTCTGTCTTCCACCGCGGCTACTACGGCCGCCACGGCCTCTTCTACGGCCTCTACCACCTCTACCTCCGCGGGTAGACTAGGCAGTATTTGAAGTGCCGTCAGCATCAAGCTCTACAGCAGCAAGCAGGGCTTTATAGTACTGTTCCACGTCAAAGAGTGTGATACCTTTCGGTTCCAACTTAGCGATCTCTTTAGTGATAAACTGAACCTTTGGAATCTCGGTCTTTAGTTCCCGAAGAACGATGCCAAGCGCGTAGAACGGGTAAGGTTGAACTTTAAAACGAGAGAGTACGTGATACTATCTCTAAAACTCAGTAAGGAAATCGTTCGCCGAGTTAAACTTTGAACGCTTTATATCGATGAAACGGTTGATCTCATTTAGTACGGTATCTGCTTTATAACATGGTTCGGGAGAAGTGAAGTTAATTTGGGGACGAATTTACACGGAAGCTCAGTTGCGCATAAGGTTGTTGGTCCGACGTTTATCTATCCGGGAAACAACGTGCTCAAAGGCCGTTTTTTGGACAGCATCAGCCAACCCGTAACTAAGGTGACCGGCCGGCATGCTACAAGAGCAGGTCTTGTCGTAAGAGCAAACCCCATCACCCTGTATCAAAAATCCAAAGCAATGACATGGTCAGTCCAAGCACCTCAATATATGTAATGGACTAGGTCTCTAGGGACTTACCTCGAGACAATAATCCAATGCTTTGCCACTTCGATCCACATCGGTTGAGAGCTGAGGCACTGTACTGTTGTTTTCAATGGCGGACATCGCAAACATTCCAACCGATTTTGCATGGTCTCTCTGGGAAGCACCATTCACGTTCGATCGTTTATTGGGGATGCGGTAAGGGTTCCCAACGAGAATAACCGACTTGACCGAGCCTAGCGCAGGAACGTCAAGTTGATCAAGTGCGTTGAGAATCAGGCTTGCGCCTTGAGAGTACCCAAAAAGCGCATAGCTCTGATCAGGGCAGTCACGAAGACCTTGATTTATGACATCCAGTACAAATTTCTCACCGCTAGTGGTGTTTTGATCAGCACCTGCTGGATATTCGACAGGCTGGCTAACACCGCCGGTTGTGTTGGCAAGTATGTCCTTGACCATAGTGTAGAACATGGTCGAGACCCCCTGTGGCTCAGCCGTACCACGAGCATCAATCAACTCTGTTTGTATGACAATGATCAGCAATCGCGATATAGATAGGAACGAGTTCAATTGGAGATCCACAGGACGTCCTTACTGTAGCTCGCGCATTTTCGAGCCTCTTCGGGGGCAGTGATGTTTGCATGAGGGAGCGAAAGGAAACCAGCATGTCCACAACGGCACTCGAATGTCTTCACAAGCGTTGCGCATGTAGTGTTGTGAGAAGAAGCCGGCGAGCTGGCGAAAACCGGGGCCAAAGTGGCGGATAGGACCAGAACGGAGAGTGAGATAACCTGAAACATGCTCGTTGGTGGAATGGTAGGAATATACTAAACTAACTGAGTCTCGGAAGCGCATGCTGCCCAGTATATAACTATCGCATCTTAAATTGCTCCATGAGAATCCTCGGATTTCTTACCGGATTTGGTTAAATATACGAGTCCTATACGAATCCATGTATGGAGTAGACCTTGTCCAAATATCTTTTCTGAAATGACGTTAAGTGGAGAATAGGGTGGAGATTCATGATGATGTCGTATTTCTTTCCTAGGGATACTAAAAAAACATCCAATTTTGAGTCCAAGCCTGCTCATATCATCATCCAATTTTGGGTACCTACCTAGGTGGGTAAGGTATTTTAATTACTGCTTAAGCCTCAAATTGTAGGTCACAGAGATCCTTCGGGGTATAGTTTCCATACTGAACAACCGGCTTTGTTACCAGCCAGGTCTTCAGAATAAAGAGTGCATTAAACGAAAATATTAAGTACAGAGAATAAAAGAAAAGAAGAAAAAGAATCTATAGGGATAGGACCATAAATGTTGTAGGGTGGGTCCCGTCCAGACAAACACTTGACAGATGCAAACAAACACCAAGGGCGGAATCATCTGGCAGAAGTCTCTACAGGCGGTCAACTGCGGCAGAACAACTGGCAGATCCAAAGGCGGAGACAACTGATGACCGGATCGTCACAGGCTTATCGAAATGTTTTTCGAAGAACCCAGCGAATGGAAACCGAGGGGTATTGTCCGTAGAGACTGTGAGCTCATTGATAATATCGTCGAGATGAGGTCCTTTGACAACGAAATAGAATAGATCGTCATTGTAGAAGATGTCACGAATAGCCCGCGCTTTGTGGGTTTGATTGCCGTATGTGTGAGTCTGATTGAACAGGCCAATACCACTGGATCTGGTTATTGAAAATGCGAAAGGTTGCATTCGCTGGACACTCAGCACTTGGGACACCATCCTCATTTCGCTTGATCGTGAGTCGGATGTCAATGCGCGGCTCGGAAAAGTCAGGGTATGACCTGAAGTGAAGTTTGACAACTTTATCGCCGTCACACCAATCACCCAGCTACTGGTCGTTATTGCCGAGCAAAACACACAGGAATGAGCTAAAGGCAGACTCTTTGAAGATAGGGCCACCTTCGATCTCGGCGGCGGTTGGGTTGGTTGCCATAATGAAAGGCGTTGATGGCGAAAGAAAGAAGAAGAAGACGAGATATTGATGGCTAGAGCAAGAAGAAGAGGTGTTGATGGCTAGAGAAAGAAGAATGAGAGGTGTTGATAGTTGGAGAAAGAAGAAGATGTATTGATAGATAAAGAAAGAAGACGAGTTTTGGATGGATGAAGAAAGAAGAGGTGTGGATGGATGAAGAAAGAAGGAGACGAGGTGTTGATGGTTAGAGAAAGAAGAAGAAGAGGTGTTGATGGTTAGAGAAAAGAAACACCAGTGAGGTGAGGAAACGTAAGGCTAATAAGCACTAGGACACTTGACGATGAGGTGGGAAAGAAGAAGAAAGAGAGATCCCGCCTGATATTTATACCTTGCAAGCAAACATCCAAAGTCATGAAAACTAATGTTGTAGTTATTATGTCTGAATACCTAGATTATAAGGTTCATAAAATTAATCCTTCTAAAAGGGACTTCTGAAGTAAATTCAATTTGAATTGAATTGAACTGAATCTGAAAAAGCGAGAACATGAAAGCGGAATGCATAAACAAAGCTCTGCTCTATCAGCACCAAGCATCGCTGGTATTCCGTGAATCAGTATATCTGGTCTCAAACTGGGGATTATGGGTCGGCCGACATCAAAGCAGCGTTTTTATAGTCCAGAAACGTTCATAGCTAACGGGAATTGCCGGCATCAGCGTTAATACTACATAGTAAATTTCTCCATTGGCCTTTCAAAAGAGAATAGCCCTATATCCTTATATCTGTGAGCCAAAACAACGCTGTAAAGAGAAAGATATAACGTTAGGAAAAATCCGCTGAACGTCATACATGCATGGGAAAACACAAGTGATGTTTTGATCTCTATCCTAGCTTCCTCGTAGTATAAAACAATCCTCCAATTAAAAAACAAGAGCCTTATTCAGTTGATCGCTGTTTGGGTCACCAACCGAAAGGAGCCAGGTGGAAATCCACATTGACGTCTGGTATCTTGGAAACATCGTCAAAAGCGAGGCGTATGTCATGAGACATTGCCTTTGGACCACAGCCAACCAGGGCGAGGTTCTTGCCCCCAGAAGAATCGAGGGCTCCAACATGACTTGCCACTATATCGCTGATGCGCGGCCTTCCGTGGTGGAATGTCGTTTTCAATGACCCATCCCCCGATTGCTTAGATTCCCCTTGATAGAGAACGTTTTTGGTCAAAATTTCAGCTTTGACCGACGATATGGGCGAAAAATCAGACTTTGTATCCCCTGAAGGTTCGAAAGGCTGGGAGACGTGCTCCGTTGGCGTTGAGATCTCATCATTCAACTTGGACGAGGATGTTAGGTAAATGTCCAGAGACAGTTCGACATCCTTTGATGTAAGCGCGTGCTCCCAGGTAGAGATATAGCGCTCGCGCACAAACTGATAGAGCCTAACGTTTCTAACAGCCCAAACAATTTTGATGGTCTTTATACCTGATTTCAGATATTTCTCCGAGCGAGGAGAGTCCAGCAGCTGTTGCATGAAAGAAGTCGCAACCGTGATACCTGCCCCTCCGATAATGAAGATGGCGCTTTCAGATTTCCATGGGCAAAAGCTTGTTCCGTACGGACCCTCGACAGATAGAGTTACCTTTCTCACGGCGGATGAAGCAGCCAGCTCGGACTCGGAATTCCCATGATGCAATAGCTGCCTTCGCAGCCTGGAGGTAAACCCGTCTCGTATGCTGACGAGGAAAATAAGTTCAGTATAGGACTCCTCGCCCGTAGTCACCTCATTCCAGCCGCTGAGCGTGAATGGATGACTTTCCCAGAATTTGACCGAGCGCCAACCGTAGACGTAGAAATAGGTCCCGGGACTCAGGGACAAACCCTGTCTTACTCGGGCCTTGATCAAGATGACATTGGCCTCGCTGTTATACTCCGCAGATGAGTATGCGGTGACTTTGTTCCAAATCAATAGTCGCAAAATTCTTCCAAGTCGGTCAAAGGACCAAATAGCAACACAAGGCCAGATGAAAACGACGTAGTCGGGCCCATCAACCATCAAATGGCTAGAGTACCCTCATGGTTAGTCATTTTCCCGAACCACATGTTTGCGGACAGTACTCACTACCACAGTGCAATAAGGATCAGACAGGAAAAACCTTGGTGCACGATCAGAAACAAGTCATAGACTGCGTTTCGGATTCCAGAGCTTGCTAAAAGGCATGTGAGGATTATCGAGGAGGCCGCCTTTTAAACCAAGTTAGCGAAAAGTAGAGACAAGATGAATTCTAGACTTGCAATAACTGCCATGAACCAGTCGGTATTTTTCCAAAGAAGAAGGAAATATTCCGTTCCAAGTTCTGGAATATTAGTGTCAGCTTTAATGTACGTTGAAGGCATCTGGAAAATCCAGCGGCAGACTCACCTAGGTTTTGATAGATGCAGACGCACATCCCATGAACAAACACTTCTAGACCACATGCCCGAGCTATCCAGCGGTGAAACATATTGAATGTAGCAAAGTCCCAGCCTGTCGCCCACAAGAGAAAGTTATTTCTTGTCGCAAAAAGCCACATCACTGGCAGATTGTTGATTGCCATAACTCCCGCCCTATCTCCAATGTACCGCCAAAGTTGTGTGGACTTCTGGGTGAAGCTTTTTAGGTGGAAATTAGCCAGTCAAATACTTTATTCGCAAAAGGTAGCGAGGCCAATTAATGTGATCTTACTAAAGGTTGTGTTCAAAAGCATGGTAGTCAACACACATGAGAACTATGTTGATCAAGAAGAATGCCGAAATCGTAATTGCACATAGTCTTGGGGTCGTAGAGAATCCGGAAAAGCGAGTCATTTGCTTGTTTTTCATAACAGGTGGTACGGCCAAGTATCGGAGGATGAATCCTTGCAATTTGTTGGTGAATGCCGAGCGAAAGGCAGACGAATTGGTCAAATGTCGAAGGATATTATTAAGGGTGCCGAAAAGGACTACCAGCCCCCAGAAACCGACAGTTGCATAGCTATAAAAAGGATCCACCGTCAGTAAAGTTGAGGTATGACAAAGTGGGTGGCATCTTCGGTTACCCATAATGCGTTCGTGTGATAAGTTGATTATCCCAATCAAACTAAAGACAAATTAGCCACAAGATAGACAGGAAGATAATATTGTGACTTGCCATTGTTGTATAAGCAAAGTCAAAAAGAGTTTGATCAACAGAAGCCGAGGTATTAAAGCTGGTACCAGCTTGCCTATCCTCATAAGTTAAGATAGGCCATGAGCTAACCTCAGCTTCAGTCACGTCGTCGACAATAGACCATGGTAGAATATTGACTCCCCCATCTCCCTCATGACTGATCAAGGCCTTTCCATCCCTCCAAAATTTCGTCTGCGGAGCAATACGTCCGCATGCAGATAAATGTTGACTTCACCTGGAGGACATTTTTGCATATAGCTGAATAGTAGTCCTCAGCGAGACTAATCCCGGAAAATTCGGTGCTAGACAGCGCGGTTTGGCACGCAGTTGCGCATACTGCATTCGCTGTCACCAATGCCACCTGATACAGAGAGCAGACAAGAATCAAATTTTTCATCGCGGTGTGTGAGTTTCTTTTCCTTCCACCGAGAAGATGGTGGAGAGAATTTCAAATTTACTTCTTGGGGAAGGATGGCATGTAAGCCATTACAAATGTTGCTACTTTTCTCTGCGGAAAATCGACTAAATGCTCTATAATCATCAATTCGTAATGGTATAGTCGAGAATACGTACCATGGAAGCCAAGAGAGGCATAGAAATGCCATGGCTGCTCAGGATCCACAGATTCACGGAGCGTCACCACCCCTTGTGGCAGTTGAACGCAGAATTTTCTGCAAGTAATCAGAGACACTGAGGTCTAACTACGAGTTGCATAGCCTCATTAAGGTGGGCCGATGGATTGGATCCGCGATAAAGTGACGAATAGAAGCGAGAAAACTTTGTCTAAGTTTTCAAGCTTGTTCCAAGACCCTGCCAAGCCTTGGTTCCGTGGTGAGTCTAACTTAATGGTTGTTAATCAGATTAGATGGGATCTGATAAAGATGACGGTGAGAAACAAATACAACCTTGGCAAGAGTTGCTAGTACACACCAGGATAATTCACCGACCCGCGCCTTGGCACTTGGCATCTTGGCTTTTGCAGATCTGGGAATAGCGTACGGAGGTTGTTGTCTTCGTCAGGATGCTTTCAGTCAAGTTCACCATATTTATTGTCAAAAGATGCAACAGCCTACGAAGACGTATGGGCCCCTTTTAAGGGGATTTTGATGCCTTGATACCTGGATCAGTACCGCTCTATACACCGCCCTAATACAGTGTACTGCAAATTGTTAATTTTGCTGAGTGCAGCGAAGCAAATAATACAGGTTGTGACAGAATCCGGGTTCTAGCTCGAGGATACTCAAAAAAAAAAAAAAACTTCTGAGATACCAGGGCCGCCAAGCCTGCTTATGTCACCATCTAATTTCCAAGGTTCCTGTTCGACCTCGGAAGTATCCCTCAGGTCTAGGGGCTGAGACATACTACAACATAGTGATTTCATGCCGGATTTGGAGGGTATCCGTAACTGGACCGAGCAAGTAAGTTTATGTTGTAGATTATATTTTCAGCTGAACGGCATAATAAGTTCCTGGCATCAAAGCCTTGCTGATACGAAAATATTCTGCCATCCGACCCACTCGGTGTAGGTAGTAATATTGTTGCCTTAATATGCCTGAATATTTGACGGCAGAAAATATGAATACCTGAATTACCATAACAGAGCCCTTAAGTAAGTAACGTGCTTGAAATCTATAAGGATGGATGGCGATTTGTACGGTCAGATTTGTACGGTCGGCATCGATGAGGATAGATGTCGATGAGAATAGATAGTGACATACGGCGAGGGGGCTGTGGAATCGATGAGATTGGGGGTTTTGAAATTGTTGAGAATATGGTATATATGAGAGGACTCAACGCCTAGAAACGGAAGATTGCAAAGATTTGTATAGTGGGAATAGCTTCAATATATTTATACGGGAGGCTTCCATTTGAGAGCTTCATTTACAATACACTGTAAGAGCGGTGCGAAAAGGCGGTGTATAGTCAGACATCATGAGGCATATTCAGACAGCAATATTAGCAATAATTAGTTTCCGACACCGGGCCGGGATGGACCTTCGCACACTGGGTCCTACTGGCCTGCTATCCCACCTGACGCACCTCCCTAACTTCAGCAATCGCCGATGTTACTCCCCACAGAAGTGAAATCTGGTTCATGTGCATGCCCCTCGCCTGTCGTCTGTCTAGCTTTCAGAGCGGCAACGTAGCAGACGAATTCGCAATCGAGGAAATTACCATCCGACCTTTACATTCTATAATTCTCCCTCGGACATAAGTCAAGTGATCGAATTTATTACTAACGTGCACACTCTATAGCTGGACCAAGTAAACTGGATATTACGGATATTCCGTCGATCAAGGATGATTGACCCATCCTTCTCGGTCAGCAACCCATGTCCCCATAATAAGAACATGTGTGTATAACCAGGCTTCCAAACTCTCGGAATATTCACCGCCGCTAACGGGGGATCTCGCCAAATCCATACACATCTGAAGATGCTCTATAACAGAGCTCTTACGAACACGGATATTCAATCTATTTTGAGTCATGGTGGCGATGCGACTCTTGCGCCGTGCTTCGTGGTCAATAGACATTAGCCATGCAGTTTTGGAGGAGCATATTTGATGGTCACTCACAGCTCGTCACTTGCTCCATTGTTTTCGGCGTCCATGAATGTAGGTCTGGGCTCAAGTCGCATAGAAACCATGATATGTGATTTGGCTGACAATATAAACTCTGAGGTTATTTCGTTTTCTGTTTTCTTCTAAATTGATATTCGAAGGGGGTTGTACCGTTTTTAAAATCATTTTTAGGTCTGCTCGTATTCGTTTTACCGACTGGCTATATTTCCCCGAGCCATGAATACTTCGCATGTTCCATAATTGACGTTATATGGCCCAAAGGCGCGAATATGATTTCGGGCCTTATTGTCTAGATGGTGCAGCTTCTAAGGTTCGGCATTGTAGAAATTTTAGCGGCCGAGCCACGCCAATCATTGGCTGCGGGTAAGAGCGTTAGTGTACGATTACGACTCGGGCGGCTCAAGAGATCCACACTATAAAACTGTCGTACTCGTACACTAAGATGAAACGGCGTAGTTCCAGATTCACGTGCGGCTGGTACGGAAGTAGTAGGTCGATCAATCGTCGATTGGTTAGAGACACAGCTGCGTGGCTAATTAGCCTCTTATGGATCATCACTATGCTATGAGAACTTCCTTTGTGCCGTATATTTGCTGTTTGATATGTTTGATTAATTTAAGTTCACTTGTGGCAAATGATGCGAACTTTATCAGACGTTTCGCATAGTATTCCCTTTATATTTGCAAGTTCTCAAATATATATATCGCACCTGGTCACAGTCTGGACAGCCAAATGAATATAGGAAATTTACTGTAATTTGGATTCTAAATGGAGAAAGCTTCGACCACAAGAGTATTTATGTTCTGTAAAATGATATGTTCGATCTGTTCACGCCTTGGGACTTCCTCTCTGCCAAAGTGGACAATACCACATGATGTATATAACCTTCTAACACACAAGATGCAACATAACTGACAAAAACAGTGCAAGAAAGATTTGTGCGTAAAGTTGCGAAGCCGAATTACCCCATAGCATGAAGGTTAACATAACTAGGGGTTTTTCCAAGCTCAGCACCAGAATTGAGCATTTTGTACGGCTTCCAGTAATGGAACAGTAGCTGCACAACAAGCATAGGAAGGGCGTCAAAGAGATACATATATACCTCACGTGAAATAAGATAGCCATCGTGTCCTTGCAAAAACTCTACCACCCGATACAGACATCGGAAGATGATCAAGGCAGCCATCAAGAAAAGGATGTGCAGGAGAGTCCCCCAAGGGGCCCCCAGGAAGCCTCCCTGTGCTTGACGAATTCGAAGCGCAAACTTCACGGACACGTAAAGGAAAAAGCCAAAAAAAAGTAGCTGGAAGAAGAGACCAAAAACAATGACTTTTTGTCCAGTACTAGACAGTCCAGATATTGCCATAAGGCCACCTCCACTGCATTGTAAGAGGAATGCAATGACGTCGCCGACAACAAATATTTTTGTCACTTTTGTGGGAGCAATGATAGATAAATCGGGACGCTTCGTGCAATATACAATGCGTCCGTACAACATGTAGATCGTCGCTGCATAAAGTGAAGGAGGAAGGAGGATCAGGAGTGATTGACTAATGTACGGAGCGAGGCTTTTTGGGCTCTTGGCAGAAATAGCGCGGCTAATGTATCCCGCAGTCATCACTAATTGGTGTCAGCAGGCTTCAAGAAGAGGGTGACTGTGATACATCACAGAATCCATGTATGAGAAGGGTACTGACTAATGGAGCCAATGGTGAATGCTGTGAAGAACCATGCCCTTGCCTTGAAAAACGCGTGCCAAATGTGAACTGCTGCGCTAGTGGCAAAGACCAGCGCAAAAATCACACTTGCAGCGACACTCGGATCATAGTTGTAAAGGGCAAAGTCATCATCGTTTGCCATTGCTGGGCTGTATAGAAGGGAACGAGTCGCTAATGTGGGTGATGGATAAAGGAAGAACAAATCTAGCTTGGATGCAGGAGAAAATAAAAGGGTGGGATTCACACAACCGATTCAAAACCAGTCACCCGGGCTATATATATTGAGAGAATTGGAAGAAAGAGAAGAGCAGCGGTTGTTTCTCAGGTAAAATAGCCTAATACGATGGAACTCTATCCAGCTGCCACTAGGGGCATCATCAATGGGGCTATAATTCCCTCGCCCGAGCTGCTAAAGTTAGAGTACGAATACGAAAGCATTGCGACCAGTACGGAGTACCCCGCATGTTTACTACTTTCTACTGTTAAAGAATAGGGAGGGTGCGAATAAGAAATCTTTAAGGGTGTGACTATAAAAATCAGGCTGAAGTACACCAAGGGTCCACTTGTGGGGCATAGAGTCCTAGCGACGGTACTTTATCGTTAGTGTACGAAAATACGAGAATGAACCAAATAAAGTTCAACACAGAGAAGAATATAAGATCAAACAGGGCCGTACGATTTTACTTTCGTTCATTCGATATCTTGAATCCTCTGCCTTATTTGTCCTTTCAATATAATAAGGCAGCAACTGGTGGAAAAGAAAGATGTCGACTCAGTCCAGCAACGAAACTGCAGCATGGGCTTATTATCGATACTCTCCATCTCTGATCGCGGCTACCATCTTTACGGTACTATTCGGTCTAACTACGTTTGTACATCTTTACCAACTGGCCAGATTTCGCGCGTGGTTCTTCATTCCGTTTGTCATAGGCGGATTCTGTAAGTGTATCTCTTTGTCCCTTCATCGCGAGCCGGCCGGGAAACAAAACTGATATGATGATTTTCCTATATGCAGTCGAATGGGTTGGATATGTTGGACGCATCCTATCTAGCCAAGAGAGTCCCAATTGGACCATGGGCCCTTATATCCAGCAAAGTCTGCTCCTTCTGCTTGCCCCCGCACTATTTGCCGCTTCGATTTACATGATACTAGACCGAATGGTCCTACGTCTCGATTCAGAGAAGCTCTGCATATTCAAGAAAAAATGGTTGACCAAATTCTTTGTCACTGGAGACGTGTTATCTTTCTCAGTTCAGGCAGCTGGTAAGCGAAGAATTCCTCATCGTTTGGTTGTTCCAGCAAGGTATTAGACTGACTTGCATATACGGGACTATAGGTGGCGGAATTATGGCTGGTGGCTCGTGGGATTCACTTCACTTGGGTGAAAAGATTGTCGTCGCAGGCCTGATTATTCAGGTTCTCTTCTTCGGCTTCTTCATTATCACAAGTGCAATATTCCATATTCGCCTCCGTAAATCACCAACCCAACAGTCACAGGCGCTCTCGGGTATATGGCATAAGCACATCACGGTTCTCTATGTTGCGAACATTCTCATCATGATTCGTTCCATATTTCGCACGGTCGAGTACGCCATGGGGAACAACGGATATTTGCTCCGCCATGAGGTTTTCTTATATGTCTTCGATGGATTGTTGATGTTTGCAGTCATGCTATTATTGAATTTCATTCACCCAAGTGAAATGCTCTCCCTCTCGCGGGGGAAGTACTCATGAATTCATACACGTCTGCCATTATTGATCTATGAGGTATCTACTGGATTAATGCTATTTACGCTTTCCTTTTTTTTTTTGTTCGAGTATGGGTACAAGGGTTTTACGTTCAATGCAAGACAAACATAGTCCGAGTATATGAGAGAAGTCAGGACTGGTTAGGTGCACCGTCCGGGCGCCTATCGTTTGAACGTATTTCATGTCTTTTCTAAGGTAAATTAGTGGTCTTAGTTGGCCTAAGTTATCCACGCCAAGCACTATTTAGTTACTAGAAAAGGCTAGGCTAAGCATTCTTTCAAGGCACTATAGGTAGTGGCGCACACATACAATGCCGTGAAGACCACTGGACTAAATAAAATAACTTCTTTTTAGTATCCATAGGTCAACTACAACTATAACTTGCAATTTGACCCCCTATTTGCGCTTATCCAGCAGTAATTTCAAGGCTGCATTTTTCAGTGAAATTAGAAATACCGAACCATGGAAATAATTGCCGAAAGGGGTAATCTTGATGCCTGGATCCACCTGGGCAGGTGGGGCGACTTATGTAATGTAGATCTTATCCATGGATTTCACTACCCTAACTCAACATTAAGGACTGAGGGCTCGACTGAAAAATCACTTCGGTATATTTCCACCGTGCAAAGCCCCGCCACGTCTTATATAATCCCACTTTACTTCCCGACGTATTTTCCTCTACATAGCTTCCTGTTGTTGGTGCGATTTTGCCATGCCATCACGACGGTCTCATCGGAAATCTCGCGATGGATGCAGTCCTTGCAAACAGCGTAGGGTCAAGGTACGCAAATCTTCTACTTTTTATTGCACTATGCATATAGTGTCTTGTTCAATCACTGACAATATGCAGTGTGACGAGCGCCGCCCTGAATGTACGAATTGCACGAACCGAAATACTGTGTGCCAGTACGCCTCTGAAGCTTCCGTGACGTCAGCCCGCTCGAACACCGAAGAGTCTTCTCCTTGCTCATTGCCGATCCATCCTTTTCATGCATCCGCTCAGACACACTCGATATCTATTCCACAGGGTCAAACATCTATACCAAACAAGCAGGCTGAGAGTGCCGCCAACATTCCACTAATATCACGCCTTAATATTCGCGACATGGAGCTTCTTCTCCACTGGTGCTCCTCGACTTACGCGACAATGGCACATACCACAGAGGTTGAAAATGTATTCCAATTTCTCTTGCCCACGGAGGGCCTGACATATCCATTTGTGCTTCATGGAGTGCTAGCATTGTCTGCGCTTCACATCGCACGTACAGAGAACCGAAGTGACCGGCCGAAGTATTTCTCTATTGCCTTGGAGCACCAGAATTGTGCACTCGCTCTATTCAGGCCTGAGGTTCTTTCGCTCAATTGTGAAAACAGCAATACCCTGTTTTTATTTTCCGGTATTCTCTATCAACTAGCGTTCGCAAAGGGGCCGTGTTCCCCGTTTGCAGAGACTTATGACCCCATTCATGACCTTCTTCAAGGGTTCGATCTATGCAGAGGGCTCCGCGAAATGACAGGGCTCACATGGCACTGGGTCAAAGAGGGGAGAATTTCAGATGTGCTCTTCCGCGTGGATGACAACAAGATATGGCCACTTTCTGATCAAGTCCAGGAAGCCTTTTCACGTTTAAGCCGTTTAAATGAATATTACGGAAAGGACGTCGGCACTCATGACACAGCCTGCTATGCTTCTGCTATTAGCTCTCTAACAGACTTGATGGAAATATCCCAGGGCAAACCACGTAGGGCTGAGCTGGCGTTGAGATGGTCATTTAACCTCACAGACAAGTATGTGGACTTGTTGAGGGAACGTGACTCAATGGCACTCGTTATTCTAGCACATTATTGTCTCTTGCTTCATAATGGCAGGCGCCAGTGGTGGATGGAGGACTGGAGCTTGCATCTTGCACGTTCTGTTTGGGGTCTTCTTGACGAGGATTGGAGACCATCAGCGATGTGGGCTTTGAAAGAAGTGGGGCTCGAGGTTTGAATGTAAATGATTATCCAGGTCTATGATACCTTCGAAGATCAGTGGGGTGCTGAGACTTTGAAATCCGCCCCTAAAGTGGCTACTGACTGGACTGGACTCTTTCTCCAGCCTGAAACATGAGCACTGAATTTGAACAGCCATCATTTCCGACTACTAATATACCTCTACATATAATGAACATTTTGCGATAATATCAGAATCTTCCAGGTATTCCTGGTATGGCCACTCAACTATTGTGCATGTCTTAGTGATCGGCGTTGAGCCTTATAGAGTCAACCAAATCTTTGTGTCAAGATGTTTATTCATATCAAGACTCCTGAAACTCGATCCTGGATTCTAAAAGGCATTGAAGTGCAACTGTGCCAGTATATTATCAAAGACGTTTGGCTTCACAGAGTCTCGTTCTAGCACTCCTTCTGTGGTCAGATGCATACAAATATCATTTCCAAGAACAACTAAGAACTTGTTGACTCACGACTGGACCACTCCATCAACAACAGAGGCAGCAGGTACAGCACTCGAAGCACAGAAACCCGGTGCAACTATAGTTTTAATCAGCAAAACTGAATTCGAGAGGTTGGTGACAGGGTTCTACTAACACTCCACAGCAAATGTCTGCCCCTTCGCCACCACCACGCAAGTGTAGCTGTTGCATCTGATCGGGGGCACTCTAAGCAAATTTAGTCAGTGCCTCCAGTAAAGAAATGAGTGTTGTGATACAGGCTGCTGGTCGATAACTCTTTCTGTCACAGGGGAAGGCGGACTAGAGAATTTCTGTTTGGCCATGCCCCCAGAATAGTGTTGCTGCGATGCTGCCTCCTGGCGTGAGGACTTGAGAATGCTGAAAAGGCTTTGGAACATGTTGCTAGAGACTGTGATATTATCGATTCTAACTCGGTAGAAGAGGTCCGAAAGTCTGAAGAGTTATAGATCGTAAAGGATACTTGACAGAGGTAGAAAAGGGGAATAAAATGGCTTATCCATCTACAGATTAGTCACCTCAACTGCGATCTAAACATTGACTATTGTACTGGTTTTTGTGTGGAATGGCTTCTGGATGGATGATGGGACCGGCGGAGATACATGCAATTCCCTTCCTGTAATTAAGTACAAAGGGAGCTATTTGCCTCGTCGGGTGGGTCGATGTGTCTGAGATTTACAGTTAGTGTACGAATACGAATGATGTGAAATCTCTATTCGGTAGCCACAAGCTTGGCAAACGCTTCGTTCAGCCCTGTCCCTTCTTGCCCTGGTGGTTTTACTAAACTCTAGAAGACTGAAGTGAACAGCCAACCATACTCCCGCTAGTTACCTACCAGACATATATGGCCTACAAACCTACTTACTTACTTCTTGGCTTCGTGCGTGCAAAAAGTAAAGTGATACGTGAGGAACCATAATCAAAAATATATATCGCAGTACTCCGATAGGGGGAATCGAACCCCCGGCTGCCGTGTGAGAGACGGCGATGTTAGCCACTACACCATATCGGATATTGGATGGAAATTGTTTTAGATTTAGCCTTGACCTTCTTGGCTTAGTTCTCTTTGTCCCTCCACGCCGCCGTACGTGGTTATATAAAGTCCCCTTGCCCCCCCACCCCCCCCAATACCCAACAATCCAGGTCATTTTTCTTTTCGCCCTCGTCTCCCGGTAATCTCTAGGTCCTATAGGTAAGGCATTTTTTTGCTATTGATCCGGATCACTAAGCTCCTGAACTCCGTTACCCCTTTCCGGTGTGACTCGTCGACTCTTCTATGATCCCGCAATTGCAATCTACGCTGGCCTCCCTCGTCCGGCTCTGCTTTCCCTCTTAGCTCCGACCATTACGCTCGAAACAACACCTTTTCCTCTAGTCTACAGCACTTAATTTGCCGGTCCATCATTAAGCTTTATACATATAGGCGTATTCTCTCGACAATTTCAGGACAGTTGTCCCTATACAGCGGGTTGTATATATGGCCTAGGGCAGACTTGCCGCGTCAGAGTCTTGTCAACCTTGGTTGGGCGTGTGCCTCTTTACTAGTCCAGCGCTTACCACCAATTCACCCCTATATTTACCGCTCCATAGCAGAGAGCTTCTTCTCTTCATCGAAACCTTCTTAACTTTCCGAGATCCGCACTTTCAGCGCACTGCTGGGTAGATCCCTAACACTACCGTATTCCCTATATCTACTTTTGGAATACCCCTTAATCTTGATACTGAAGCTCCCAGTGTAATAGAATTCGCAGAATATTATGCTACTCCGCCTTACCGTATTCACCCCAACTACCGTACACATCAAGATACGGTAGTTCAATGGTAATTTAGCAAAATACCGTGATCCACCAGTATTTTAGACCGTTACGGTAGGATCATGGTAATTTTGAGGTATTTTTCATACGCGCGTTTCCTGGATGGGTAATTCTTATCTTCATTCTCTATGTACCGGCTGCCCAACCGACCTGATTGAGCACTCTATCGATCTGATTCCAAACGCCCTCCCTGTCAAGGCTAAGCTACCAAGACTACCAAGATACATCCAAGCGGAGAAGAAGTTTACCTGCGAAGGTTCTCCAGATACGGAAGAAGCGGGGGTTCTAGCCGTGATGTCCTCGCAGTGGGGAGCGAGAATTCGATTCCTTGGAAAGGAGAAAGGGTCTATCATCAACTTCCGAATCGTTTCCAATTTCATCCCGATTAGCAAGTGGACTATTGGGAACGCTTATCCGGTCCACAGCTTGGACGAAGTCATCGACATTATCCTGAAACGAAAAGCATATGCTATTTCTGTGCTGATGCTTCTTGTGGGTATTGGGCGATCCTCATCCGTAGGCGTGTCGATAAAATAACGGAAAACAGGTCTATCAGTAGGAGCTCGAGTTGCTCCATGGACTTTTACGGACAGGCCACAGTGGATCGTCTCCATTTTGGGATATTAGACCCACTGTCGGTGCGACCTGCACGGAGGATCTTCAGGCATTACATGCATAAAGACTCGGCAGCCGAGTAGTGAACTGGGGGCCTGTGCGAAAAGGTGATCGGAGTCCCAGCAGGACAATCCGGCTCTCGCAACCAAAGAAAATCCCAAATCCAATCATCTCAGCCGGCGGTGCCAGTGACTTTATCACATGGGTTTGCCCATGCCGCCTTCAATCCGCGTCTCGATATAGCTGAGAGCAACGTTCTTGGACTTAGCTATTACCGCCAGTTCTCTGGGCAACCTGGAACCGCGCCGAAGAATCAATTCGATTCGATTCATTTGACTGCATCGATGATGAAGGCAGTAGATATTCAGCAACTCGGCGCTCTAGCACATGACGATCTCGTAATACTGCCTGTCTGTCATGCAGTGTGAGCAGAAATCGGATCCTTGCAGCATGTTAGCCTGTTTCGTTTGATTTTGTTCTGCACGAATATGAAAAGGTCCCGTGGGGCTGGGATTGGATGGAACAAGACTTTGGGCTCCGGGTTTGCCGTTGGTCGCATGTTTGCACAGGGCTGGTTCGATGATAGTGGATGGGATGCTATTATGATTCGGGAATAATTCAAATCTCCAGAAATTCAAGGGTTGAGCGTAGTATGTCTCCAGTTTTCATCCTAACGGTTTCAATTCCGACTAAGTGTGCTCGTTTCGGTTATCTGCGGAGGCTCTCATGAAGCCCATTGGCTGGTAAGACATATTGGACGTTTGCCTGAACGAGGTCTCAGCCTTTCGAGAGTAGTTTCAGCAGAGCAAATTCGTTTATCTCAGTGGTTATGGGACAACCCACAAAGCGAATCCTTTAGGCCGTCAACATATCCTTTGGATATCTAACTCCCAGGGTGCCTCAACTGACCTACTTTAGCACAACGGTCATCACATGGGGAACATCATGATTTCATGGAGAGGCCCGCTGTTAGAAGAAATGAAAGGGGTCTGATCAAACATTTTCAGTTCCGGGGAGAGAGGAATCAGTAAGGGTGCTTGGAGAGAGGCAAGCGAAGAAGAGAACGTCACATGGCCTTCGAGCCTCAGATAGTAAACGACGTAGCGGTATGACATTCGGCATCAGGATTTGACAGAGCAGACTCACTTCAGTGCCTTGGGTTCATCCCGCCCGTCATTGGTGCCCAGCTAACGTCGACTTCCATAACCACCGGTGCGCAGCCAACCAATCAGCCATGTGTTTCCCCCGAGCAGTATAGTCGGACTCCTCTGGCTCGTGCTCTCTGGCCGTTGCTCGGCAAGATTGCGTTGTCGGCGGCGGTGAATTTGGGGGAGTTGAGGATAATGGCGCTGGCCATGGTCTCGGTGTAGGTTTGGGAGTATCTTCCACCAAGTCACCCATTTGCTTTGTGAAGCGAATCTTGCGTACAATTCCCTGTGTGATAGAAACAGAAAATTAAATTCATCTTGGTCGATTGGTATCGTTGTCTGGGTCAGGCTGGATCGGAAGCAATCCAAGCGTAGACGCAGACCAAAGCTGGAATCCCCGCCCCTCCTCCAATAGAGACTGTCATCACCGCACCTGACTTGGACGCACTGTAAATGGGATTATCGGCCCTGAAGTTAAAACGTGACAGAGTTGGAGTGTAATGAATGAAAACTTGGAAGTGATTCACGGTTGGAGGCCCATGTCGCTTGCTCGTCGCCTCGCATGCGCTTGCCGTCGTAAAATTTAATCTCGTAAGAGAGTATAGTATCGTTTCAACGAAGCTCATCACTCCCCGCTATCATCCGCGCTGAGAGGTCGGTGACGAATGGCGTTTGGCAATGTCCCCGGGGGAAAGCCATGACCTCGTTGGTCAGATGAGGATTCTTGGGTAGAGAAATGGAGAATATGTGAAAGGCGAAGACCAGTCAGAAGCCAATTCCACGATATTACGATCATAGACATTGAAGAGATGATCGTATCAAATAATGCAACGAAAATAAGAACGTCGAACCGGGGACCTACTGTCCCCCATCCCCTGTCCCGAACCGAAAGAGTGCCGATTAAGTTTCTCCAACAACGGCGCGTGACGGCACACACTTATCGCTGAGCAGAGCTACATCCAGGACCACTAGCCCGGAAGATAATCATTGGGAAAAAAGAGAATGGGTTTTATTATCTGTCAAGGTAAGCTTGAGGTGAGACTTCACCCACACATGGATTATTGAATTGGAATCATAGATATCCTAATGATAACCTAAATAAATATTCGGAGACACATAAGAAAGGCTCTCAGGACCTCATCGACTGTAAAAGATACCCAGTCGCTCCTCGATGTTACGCAACCTATAATTAATATCACGAAGAGAGATCTCACGCCCCAAACGATCACACGTAAGTCTCGAAAACGCTTCCCTCGCATCACTCAATTCATTTCGCATCATCTGTACCTGTGCTGCCGCTGGCGCGAAACGCGTGTTGATTATCGTAAAGATCACGGAAGTCAAGGTGCAAGCTACTGAGAGCACTGTCGTAATCTCAGTGAACCAAGCAGGGGGCGTGGGTGTTGGAGGGGCCTTCGGGCCCACAAGCGGGGAATCTCGAAGGGATCTCCCTAAGTCAGATTATTAGCATTCACTCCTTGATAAAATCTTGAACTCATAGTAATGCTCGACATCCTGCTCGAGGAGAGAACATCCTTCAAGTACAATGTAGGATATTCCCTTAGATATCAGGAGGAACCAGTCATGTTCATCCAAGTCGTCTGATTGGAAAGCTGTATGGGGGATGTTGACTTACAGTTAGAAATGTCCTTGTGCTCACAGATCTCTGACAGCGTGACAATCTCCGGCAGCACCTCTTTATGCTTGTCGCTAATTTGCTCTGATGAAATTGCATCAGTAAAGGTTTTGTGATTCCTAGATTCTATTTCCTAGGACCACTTCTTATAGTCTTTGTTATGTACGGGCGACTAAATATGCCATCCGACACATAACCCTCTCATTGGTTATTACCTCACCGTCTAGTTCATTACTGCCTTCATGAAGCATTTACTAATTTTAACTTCTCTTTTATTTATATACTATACATTATAATACGATACAATTCAGATTCAGTTCAGATTCAGTTCAGATTCAGTTCAGATTCAGTTCAGATTCAGTTCAGATTCAGTTCAGATTCAGTTCAGATTCAATTCAACACGGTACTTGTCAAGTGAGAGTGGATCTAAATTATTGCCTGGCAATATAAACCAATGAGAGAGTTATGTGTCGGGTGGCATACTTAGTCGCCCGTAGTTATGCTCGATGAACATTTCCCCAAAACGACAAGGAACTTGCATCGGGCACAGAAGCTATACACAAGGTTCTAGGGAGTAGAGTGTCTTGAAAGTCATCACATACCAAACAAAGCACGGTTGTTGTCACAGAAGTCAGCGAGGCTGACCAAGACCGACTTCAAGGGGGCGGGTTGAAAACGCCTTTGCGCGGGAGAGCCATATCACCTAAGCATTGAATTCCTGTTAATACTGCAGAGAAAACACGAAATGGGGCGAAGAGTAGTCCTCACCAGGCCCAACATGGTCAAAAACAACACGGGGTGAAGGTAACGCATGACGGTGGCTTTATAGGAAGGTTGAGTGCGCTAGACTTGGATGAAGCAGAGAAGTATCAGGTGCGCGGAAAAAAGAAAAGAGGGAAAGATTTGTGGGATGCGACTGATATGAGCTGGGGAGTAGGGGGAGCTGTTCCACATTGGGCCATTGAGGCAGTTTTCCATTGTCGAGACCCGCCCATTGTCACTTTCACCTATTTTCGCTTTCACCTATTCTGAATTGTCTCTATTGTTAATTGTATCTATTGTAAAGCTGGGGAAGGGCGATGCCGAGTGCGACCTTAACGACTACTATCTCATGAGCTGCAGACATATACATCTGTCGGGAGCACTTCGGAGCTCCTGATTGGTCAGGTCCGTCAGGGTTGATAGATGTAGTCACGGAGAGAGTTTCTCTCTCTCCTCTCTCTTTCTTCTCTCCTCGTCTCCAGAATACATGACATATGCTACCCTACCTTGCTCTGTTCTTCTGATAACATCCGCAAAAACACTGGCAATAATCTTGACCAGTCGGTTCACTATCTCATCCACATATTCTTTTGGCAACAATGTATGGTGGCGCGAGCAAAAAGTGGTCGCCGTTCCACCCATCCACCGCACCAGTGGCAGTAAACAAGCACATGTCAACTTCGGTTGCGGCATTCTGGACAGCGAGAGGGTCAATATTCAACACCCAAGATCCTGGCCCTCGTGGAGACAACGATGAGCCGCCGGAAACTTCAGGCACTCCCGACGCCAAGAAAAGCCCGACATTGGAGTCCTTAGGACTGCCCTCAACGTGGATTATAACTTATAAGTCTCTTCCTCTTGGTTTACGTTGGCAAAACCAATCCCGAAACATTTGTACCAGAAAACAGTGACTCCTTCCAAATCTCGCAAAAACAAGGAAATATATGAGTCATCTCAACAGGAACCAGTTGACCCGTGGACCCGTGGACTAACCTTTGGAACTCCAGCATCCATTGATGGCATCCATGGCTATATGGGGTTTTCCAGCGACTTTTATTACCGTCTAATGTGTCATAGTTGAATTCCAGGCATCAGCCCCCTCCAGCGTTTCCTGATATTCTTCCTTCTTTAATCAATCAACTACTTTTCTTGAGCTCTTTCATTTTCAATGACCTCAAACAATATTTGTACACACCTCCAACTCAGCCACTTACCTCGGTGTGTAATCTTCGCAGTCCCCCCTCTCAAGCAAGCGGCATATGCCAAGCACCATGGGCATGCTGCACCTCTTCTTTCACTCCTCTTTCTTGGTATCCCGATTCGTGGGCCCTAAACGAAATTCATTACCTGAACTTCCGGTCGAGGTCTTATTCCGAATAACGGAATTTCTCTCTCGTGACGATATAACATGCACCTCACTCTGCAATCATCGACTATTTGCTCTTTTAAAAACCAGGGAACCTCCTTCGTTACGAACAAGACGAGACAAGCTAGCCCTTTTGACTCGCCTGGGGCGAGATCTCCCAAAGTTCTTCGCTTGCTATGCCTGCCATATTCTCCATAGGCACGATACTTCAATCGACTTTCTTCCTGGGCCTCGATGCATGATCTTATTGCGCTGTCCTAGAGAATCAGCACCACTTTACCTTCCTTTTCATCAGCTATGGTATTCCGGTGACCGTTGCGCTTATTATTTTCACTTCACACACTTGCAACTTCTTATGATGAGGCTCTATCTTGGCCCAGAATATGGGATCGGCACCGAGGACATTTTTTACACAGAAGTCCAACTCCACAGTCTCCAGCCTGGCACTCAGGTGTCCCTTATCTCTTCCGTTGACGCAAACATATGTTCAATGAATCCTAATCTCATTCTGAGAGTCCAACAGATCATTTCGGTTGATCGTCATAAGCGATACCTATTGTATCGATGTCCACGGCCATCAGCCAAAAGATCTATGATTCCTCCGCACAGCATCACCATCTGCAATCATGAGAAGAACCGGGACATTGATACCTGGGTTAATCAGGTTGTGAGCGCCCATCGTGCTGGAGAAAAAGCCCCGTCTGTCTCTTTTGCTTGTCGCCATTGTGGCACCGAGGCTCTCCTCGAAATGGTTGATTTCGAAAATCAATTGGCTCTGGTCATTACAAAGTGGATAGGCCTAGGTGCTGGTTTAACCCCGGAAGATCCTCAATGGCGGAACCATAAAAAATTGGGGTTTTCACCCATGAGGTCCACAGAAGGGGAATACACTAAAGATTCCGCGAAAGCAAGCGCTCGAGCCTGTTTCGAACGTGCGTCGACGGAAAGCTTACTGTCTCGCAACATGGCGTACCTCAAAGATCAGCAGTTCAAAAAATGCATGATCTACAATTCCTTGCCATCGTTTGGGGGTTATGATCCTGATGTATGGTATCTATGGGGTAACCATTCTAAAGCTGCAAGACCAGCCACCCACTGACCAGCTCTCCCCTCTTTCTGCACCTACCGTGATAGATGATTATTTCTTTGCTATCTACCTTAATCGCGCTATATTGAGTACAATGGACCTGGGAGGCTTGAGCCGAAACTCATTCGACTTCAACTCCATTCTAAATATTTATATTTTTGCTCCTTAGTTATACCCGATGGAAGATTTCTTATAAATTTGTATCTTCAATTGCATCGATAACTACATGACCGAGTAGACGTTGGTACGAGGGATCGAAGCATCCCCGTACCGGTGTTCTTTTTCTCACGGCTGAGAGTCAATCAAGTAGCGAAAATAAAAATGGTCAAAAACAAAAAACATACAACAGTGAGGATTCGCTGGTGGTCACCCACCCAACTACTAACTCACCGGCGTGTGGCTTAAGTACGGCTGAGCGGACGGGAAGCCCTGTTCTCCACACCCTGTGGTCGTATGTATGTGGTTCAGAGGTGTCACGAAATATATTCCAAATCCAAAAGGTGAATCCCTGCGTTCGTCACGGTCGGGCGGTTCAGGGGTTCGTATCGCGGCCCGTCCCGCCATCACTCACGGTCGAGATAGGAAGTCGGTATCGTCGGTACGTGGCACTCTAGCTTCGTGGTGGCTACTTGCGGTCGATAGCAAGAGACTAGCGCAGAAATGTGCAACTTATGGGCAGCTACTTGCGGTATTGACTAGGATTGAGGTACAGGAATGCAAAACCAGCTTCACCAATTTACACATCCATTCTTTCTGAGCCCCGCTGCCAAGGTTTGAGAAATGGGTCTCTGTTAGCTCTTATTTCATCCACTCACTCCGTTGGTGGGTTCTAAATCGGCCGCTGTGGGTGATTTTCGGGGGCTACCAGCCCGGGGGTACTCGAAAAAAAAACTCCGGGATACCCGCCAAGCCTACTTATATCATCGTCTAATATTAAGTACGTCCTAGGTCGCGGACCTTAGGGATACCCAAATTTATTTGATTATATAACTATAATCTTTTTTCTCTAATTTTTATTTTTTTATCTAACTTTTATTTACCCCTATAAACCTTACGTATCCTATATACCCTCTACTATAGATCTAATACTACCTAACTAGAGTTATTTTTATAATATTCCTTTATTTTCTATATTTCTACTATCTCTAAGAGGAACGGTTCGCGGTACTATACGTCCTTCTACTCTAGATAGGCTTAATTATCTCTTATTTAATATTCTATAAGTAAGTTATATTTTATATATATTAAGTATATATTAAGTATATATTTAATATATAAAAATATATACTAAATATATACTAATTATTATATTTATTTAGCCTTATTTTCCGCGTCTTATAGACAAAGCTACCTATAAATACTCCGATAAAGACTCTTAAGACTCCGATAAATACTTTAATAGAATCTTTAACGACTAAAGCTTTAGAAATAATAACCCTTCTACTAGTACTATTATAATATATACCTACCTAGAAGGTATTAGTATTAGTATAGAGAAGATAGTTACTTATAAAATCTAAGAGTATATTATTCTTTTAGACTATCTAGATACTAATAAAGATAATATCTTATATATTATCTATATAGAGAAGAATCTTTTTTAACGCTAGCTTATTAATAAAGAAAGCTTAAATAAGATATTTATAAGACTTATATTAGTAGTATATCTCCTATATATTTATTATATACTTAGTATATATAAAATTTAATATTAATATATTATATCTAGTATTAATTCTCGCTTTATTCTTTAAAATACTTTACTAAAAAGAGTAATTTAAAATTCCTCTAGAAATCTCTAAAAAATTAAGAATTAAAAGTATATTACTATACTTATATATATTCTAGGATATAGTATTATTAATATATTCGTCCTAATCTTATCTAACTATCGCTAAGATATAACTAGGTAAAGCTAATACTATTTTATAAACTTTATACTAAGGAAACTATAATACCGTCCTATACTCGTAATATTAATATAAAGATCTATAAGCGAATAAGAGTATAAGCTCTAATTTAATTATACTTATATTTAGTATATACTAAGCTTATATTATATATAGATATTACTTTAGTTTTATATAGATATAAACTACGAATAAAAAAGAGCTATATAAATATTCTTATAATAAATATATATATTATCGTATAAAGCTATATATTTAGATAAGCGGTAAGATATATATATATCTTTTTTAATATATATATAAATACTAATATATTATATCTAGTAATATTTTATTAGCTATCTTTTTATAGTTAATAGAAATAACTAATACTTCGCTTAATATCTTAATATAGCTATTTATTAGATTAATCCTAAGATTCTATAAATCTTCTATATAAAAGATAGTAATCTAGTTATAGGAGGTCTTAGATCCTAAAACTATTATTTTATATAATATCTTATAAGAAGAAGAATTATATATAGTAGGTTTAAATATAACTTATATTTAATATATACTAATTATATATTAGATTTAATCTATATAGATAGTATTAGTATATTTATTATTACTAAGTATACTACTAAGATTAATATCTATATTCTAATCTTATAAGATCGGTTTCTATTCTATCTTATTCTCTATTAAAGATCTTATTTATATTTTTTACCGCTACTAATAAAATTACTATATATTATTACTTATAAGATTATAAAGATATTTAAAAGATAAGATCCCTTTAGTTTAATTATAAATAAGTACCCTTTTTATACTTATTTTATACTATATATACTAATTATATATATAGAGTAGTTTATAAGATTACCTAAGTATATAAAAATCTTCTATAAGGATTATATATCTATAGTTAAGGCTATAAAGAAAATATTCCTAATAGCTAATAGGATCTTAACTTTAATTTTAAAATAGAGAATCTTTTACTACCTAAATAGTATATATTTAGATAGTATTATCTATAAATTCTACTTTAATTAATTAAAGAAACTTAAGAACTAGTTTATTTATAAGATATATATACTTAATAAGAAAAAATAGTATTTTATAATTATATATTATATATATATATAGACTAAACGCTTTAACTCTACGCGGTATATTAAAATAGACCTTACTTTTAAGATAATAAATAGAAAGATAAGCGTTTTCTTACTTACTAGAATAGTCGAAGAAGCGAATAGTAAGTAAATTAATTTATATCCTTTATTAGTTCCTCTACTAATATAATTAGTATTATATACCTATACTTATAAATATTATCGTATTATATTTAAAAAGCTCTTTATAATCCTTAGAAATATTATACGATAGCTAGTCCGTTAGGCCTATTAGGCTAGACTAAGTAATAATAGTACTTTAGATATTCGAATAATTACTATAGATATATATAAAAAATAGGGCCTTAGTATATTATTTATATACTATATATATACTATCTCTATACTAATTAAATTAAGGGTTTAGTAATTATCTTATAAGACTTAATTTAAGATTTATATAGAATAAGTATTTATAATATATATATATTATATACTCTATATATATTCTACGTATATTTATAAAGAAATTTTG